TGCGGAGTGTAACCGGATTATTGCCTTCATCGAGGAGACGTTTCAGGAGATTCGGATTAATGCGCCGTATCGGAAGCCGCATTTTCGGATGGAGGCTGCTACTGCTGCTGCTGCGGCGATGGATGGAAGTGGTGGGAATGGGATGCCGGAGGTGAGTCTTGAGCCGGAGACGCCGCCATCTGGATCGGTCCCGACGCCGCCGCCTAGATCGCAAATGTTCTCCCTGGTCCTTCCCGTCATCGACGTCGATCTTGACGAGGGCACGAAGAGGAGTCTTCAGGATGTACACATTGGCGATGAGGCCAAGGTATTCCGTCCGATGGAGATGGTCGGCGGCGGCGTGGTGGCTGTGCCGGCTGCTGCCGCAGGGAATGATAGGAGGGCACCGCCGGTCCAGAGACCGCATCCCCTCAGCGCGATGCCGACGAATCTGCAGCATTACCTCTTTCCTCACCTGGCGCACTTTGACGCCATGGCCAAGATGCGCGCGACGTTTACGAAATCTGAGCTTCACGTCCCGAGATCGCTGGATCAGTCATACCACGAGAGTCTCAGCGCAAGCGACCTTGCGCTTCGGAATGAGAGTCAGGTGTTATTTCGGTATCTTCGGCGCGTGGAGGATCGACTAGCTGCTACAGCTGCGTCTGCGGCAGGCACAACAACGACAGGAACTACGGCTGCAGGGTCAACGGCAGGTGATACGATTGCGGAGGATGTATTGGGCAAACAACCTCTCACAGAAGACGGGATCGCGTCGACGAAGGTGCAGAAGACGCAGCAGCAGCAACACCAGCAGAGCCCGTTCGATCGGCATGCGCAGAGGGCGTATTCGAGGCAGAGCAGCTCCAAGCAGAAGAAGACAGACGGGACGAAGGCGGAGTTGGGGAGGATGGCGGGACGGCAGGATCAGGCGAGTAGTGTGCAGGCCAAGATTTCGAGGGAGAAGAAGAGGATGGATACGGAGAGGAGGAAGCAGATTTTGGTTGTTGCGCAGCTTTGGATTTGGAGGATTGATGAGCGTGAGTCTTTCTCCTTTTTTGTTCTTGAGCCATGTCCTTGGGGAGAGAAGGCGAAGGTGAGGAAGGGTATTGCACAGATGAGACGAGAGTGGGTGGGTGCTTGGCGGACGACGAAGCTGACGTGACATTACTTGACAGACACCATCATCACCGCGTTTCCTGATCGGTGGGATAACAAGAACGCCAAGACGCTGTTGAATCAGATCAAGCACCGCGTGCTAGGCGCCAGGGACATGCGGTCTGAGGCCACGGACATGATGCGTGTCGTGGAGAGTATTCTCGAGAGCGCCGTAGGATACAGCGAGGAGGAGTTCCACTTCCAGTTTGAGGGGCCGAGGAGCTATTGTAACATCTTTGCGGCGTCCATTGCTCACGTTGTAAGTTTCTCCAACTATCTTGGGCGAAGGCTTTGAGTGCGCTACCTAGGAGCAAGGTGGAGGAGAATGTGAATACCTCACATTGACGGAAGCTAACGTTGAAACTGAACCCAGTCCAACGAAGCAATGAAGCGCTACGCCAACTTCAAAGCCTCCATCAGCAAGATGGGCACATCAAAGACGGTCCTCGACGACCTCCGCGCTGAGATTGAGCTCCTACAGGAGATTGACGACGTGCGGGAGGAGATCAACATGATTAAGCGGGTTCTCCGATCGCAGGAGCGGGTATTTGACGGGTTCCGTGAGGCGGAGGCGGAGCGGGTTGGGAGTTCATGCGGCGGAGTCGGAGTCGGGGAGAAGCAGGGTGTCGTTAAGCCGTATAAGCACCCGACGTTGGATTTCTTCAAGAGGTTGGAGGAGGATGCGAATCGGGTTCGGGATTCGGTGAGTACTTGATTCCGTGTCACGGTGTCTGGATGTCTTGGGGGGGTATTGGGTGTGTGTATGCATCAGCATGTAGCTGACGTGATGGTAGATTACGACGTTGTTGGATTTGAGGCAGAGGGAGGCGAATATCGAGGAGGCTCTGTCTGCGAGCGAGCAGTCGAAGATTCTGTTCATCTTTACTGGCGCGACAGTTGTGTTTGTGAGTTTACATCCCTCTCTCGCCTGTCTATGGCAGGGGGGTGACAAAGCTGACTTTAACAGGCTCCGTTGTCTTGGGCAACAGGTACGCAGCCGATCGAAGACGTCTTCTTCGAGTTCCTTCCGAGTGAAGTAAAAAGAGACTGACTATTTGGAACAGGCATCTTTGACATCTCCATCGAGGGCGTACCATCGCCAATCAGCGCCGGAACCCTCATCCTCGCATGCGGTAAGTCACCCTCAAGAGTCCACCCACAAACCCCCTTCCGCCCCAGTGTCGAACTAACACAAACCCAGTCCTAAGTCTAGTCGCAACCCTCCTCCTCATCGCCCTCTCCCTTCAAATCTACGAATTCATCACAACAGGCAAAGCAAAGCACCTCTACCGGCGCGTCTCCAACTTCTTCGAGGCCCGCAAGCTGGAGAAGCTGGCGGCCGCGAACCAGAGCAAGTCGCCGCCCTCATCGCTGGGCGCGTCGACGCAGCTTAGCAGGCTGAGGAGGTCGTCTCTCTCGCAGCCTGTGGCTAGTACGACGGCCAACGAGAAGAAGAAGATGCAGAGTGTGAGGAGGCGGCTTGCTGCTTTGAGGCCGAGGAGAGGGCTCAGGGGTGGAGGACGCGATGAGGAGAGGGAGGTTACTGGGAAGCAGGCTTGATGATGGGATGTATGATAGACGAAAGGGGTTTCTTTGGGAATGGGTCTAGAGATACTTCTTACGATGAATCAGCATTTCTGATAACTAACTTTGCCTACGTTTGATGAAGTGGGTTTGTTGTTGTTACAACATAAGGTATTAAGATTAAGGAGTCTGGGCATAGCGCGGATCTAGCGCGGATCTATCAACGCCGCTGGCCCGGAGTAGGTCCATGAGCCGCATCCGCGTATGCGGCATACTTCGAGGTGACATGAATACTGACTTCATAATTCGAGCTACTGTTTCAGTGATTGTGTGGCGTATGGTTTATGGGTGGCGCCACTTTCATTTCGTTCGCGCTCCGCTCTTCGCCTCGCGAGAGACTTCGTCAAGGCAACGTGCTGATAGTCACTAACTTAAGCCAATGACTGGCTTTCCCCGTAGCAGCCACGCGTCTCTTTCCGCTATAATGCTAGCATTCTCTACCGGATGGTACCTCAGCTCAACGACCCAAAAACGACCGTGGATTCCTCGAACAGGGTTACATGTGATCTTATACTTTGGGGGAATTCCGAATGTGCGTCGGAGAGAAAGTTTACCATCTTATTCTTACACGTGGCAGCTTGAGGAACTACGTAGAAGACGTTGTACTCCTTAAAATTTATGCTTGCCTTCTTAGCCGTTACAGCGTTAATATCAAACTATCCTCACCGTACGAGCTTATGGGCCAGTCAAATAGCAGGGAGCCAGGGACTATTGTAGCCTTCCACATCCGCGATACCGTAGGCAGATCTATGCATGCCAGACTACATCGGCAGAACCGGCTCGGTGAAAGGCCTCCAGCTCGGCCAAGTCGATCTGGAGCCGTTAATTTGAGGTGTCGATGGTGCTCACGGTGTTCGGTCTCCTCGGTTTTACGAATTTCAGTGAGTGTCAGGAACATTAGAAGACCTCAACTCCTTTTTAATAGCTAACGGTCGTCAATGACTTCATCACACGAAAAGAGAGATTTGGTGCCGAGTTTATTAGATTGCCTATCAGCAAATTGTCTGCTAGCAAGTTTTAGACACTTGCCATTTTGTTTGCTGGCCACAGAAGTTGACGATGCTCTGCGGCGAGTAAGGAGCGACATTGTGTTTTCACTCTACGAGGAGCCCCAATTTCATTGAAACGAAATGCACATGGCTCACAATTTCTATACATCATAGTCCCTCTTCAGGTGCGACCAAATAAGCAGCCGAGGATGAGGTCAGTATTACCTCTTTTCGCGGTTCAAGTGTATTGCTGATTTCCAGAAGTGCGAGGGAACGCATGTGAGCTCAGAAGCTAGCTACTTGACCTACCAGCACCAAACGACCCATTTGCAGTCAGCATTCATCATCGAAACAGGCGCAGCACACGGACGCATCGTTAGAGTTGGTTTGGGACAACATTCTGCTACTCATGACTTCCTCCGACGAGGCAGATATTGGAAAAAGTTAACAGCTTGGAGGTCAGAACCGGACTTTTACAAAAACTCCGGTCGACGCTACGGCTAACCTAGTTGCATACACTTGCATACAGGTAGGTCGACACTAGGACCGCCAGATTACCGTTTCCGGCATACATTTCGGGCGTTGGTTCCTCCACCTGCACAGCCCTACGGTGCAGGGATCGGACTTTTGCCAAGGACTTGAAAACTCCGGTCGCTCTCACTTCGAACCTCCACCAGTCCACACGCATCAGACGAAAGAAGAGGACATGGCGAACCGCGAGCAAGCCCCCGTCCAATGATCAATCCAAGACTTGCTGAGCCTTGACAGGACGCGAATGCACAACACTCTTCCAGTCTCATTTCAACGGACTTGATTTCCTCTTATTAAATAAACCTCCGAGAGTTGGTCTCCATCCTTTTTATCCCACAAAGTACCTACGACTACGCAAAGATCTTTAATCGGGGAGAACAGCATCGTGCCGGCGGAGAAGTCAGAGAATCTCCAATATCCGCCGTTATCTTTAGGAGTTTTACAGAGGCCCTCTCAGCTCCGGTTCCGCCGTCCCAGCGAGATGTCTGCCGCTTCGTCTCCTTCTCAATCGACGAAAAGTCCTTCGCCGGAGCACTCCCGTGTCCCCCTTATAGCCAAATGGGGCGCCGCCTGCGCGCCGTGTGCGACGGCAAAAGCAAAGTGTCTTCGATCAAATACGACACCCGGGTCGAAGTGTGATAGGTACGTTTGCGAGGGTACAGCATTCTTTATACAGCCATTTCCATCTCCCGGGTCATCGTACGCCTGCCTTGGGGGCCGGGGATTCCTTAATATCTCCGGGCCCGGGGCGATCTAGACATGTTTGCTCTACGGGAGTGGTGAGTGGTGTGGTGGCCATCCGGGGCTCCATTGCAACCCGGCATGTCTTTGATGGCCCAATGAGGGACGTGGGAGGCGGATGCTAGGCGACGCTTGCTGTCATCTGTGACTAACGGTTGTGTTCTTGCGTGATAGATGTGAGCGGCTCTTCAAGCATTGTTCGGTTCAGGTACACAGGCCGAGGAAGAAGAGGCAAAGCAGGCCATCGTAAGTCACACTCTCTATTCTCGGACCCGCGTTCAGTCAAGGATGATGTGCTGTGTGGTTGCTGTCAAGTATGACAAGCCGGCACTAAGCCCTGAATCAATGGGGTTGTGGGATACCGAAGATCCTCTTTGTCACTGACTCGGCCGAACCACTGACACCAGATATCGCAGTAAAACAACCCAGCTTGAAGAGCGCCTCAACCGCCTGGTCAACACCCTACGCGTTTCAAGAAACGTGTCTACCCTCCCTAGTGGCCCATCTACCGGCCAGCCAGTACTACCAGGCCCATCAAGACACTCGTACCCAATCTCCAACCCGCCAGTCTCCCTGCTCTCAGGACAGCCAGTGCCCGCAGACTTCTACTCCCAGAGCCGCGTCTCCCCCTGGGACGTCGAAGACCTCGCCGACATCAGACCTATTAACATCCCCGAGACCTACAACTCCTTCGTGCCCCCGACATGCATATGCAAGCCAGAGCCGGGGGAAGCCCCGCCTCCTCCCGACACGGACGAGAACCTCCTCAAGATCTACCGGACCAAGCTGGCGCCGTGCTTTCCCTTCGTGTTGGTACCGGATGACGTCTCCGCCACCACGCTCGGGGCGACGAGGCCGTTTCTGATGGCTGCTATCCGCATGGTCTCATCGTACCGCAGCATGAAGTCGATGCGCGGACAAATGTATCGTCTTTTGAACCATGTTGCTGATCACATGCTCCTTCGATCCGAGAGGTCGTTTGATTTGCTGCTTGGTTTGGTGGTCATGCTGGGCTGGTTTCATCAACACTGTATCGCTCACGCTCAGCTTAACCAGCTTGTTTCTCTGGCTGCGTGCCTTGTTGGGGAGCTCGGGCTGAAGAGGAGCCCCTGTTTGCCTGAAAGGACGAGGTTGTTGGTCATGCGGCCGTGGGAGTTGCGGGAACGCACAAATGAGGAGCGGAGGTTGTTGTTGGCAGTGTGGTATTTGAGTTCTTGGTAAGTGCCCGGTCTTTTGGGAGAAGGTTGAGGAACTTAAACAGTCTAACATACTGTTTTCAGCATCTCGATGGATATCCACCAGATTGACCCCATGAGATATTCGGGGTACATGCAACAATGTTTACGAGAACTTGAAGAGGATGTAGAGTTCCAGTCAGACATACACCTTGCCTACATTGTTCGGATCCAAAAGCTCTGCGAGAGGATCTCTGATCTGAGGTCAAAAGACTATCTAGATGAGGAGGGGGACGAGAGTACTCGAGCACCTCTTTCAGCCTACGTCTCTGGGTTCAGAGCCGAACTCAACAAATTGCAAGCCAGCATGCCTGCTACCTTGAAAAACAACGGTCAGTTCTACTCACAACCCATGAAAAGTCAAAGCCACAAGCTGACAAACAATAGCCTACCTTCAAGTGCGTATGGCCACCCTCCGCCTCCGCATCCACGAACCTCCCAGAATCGACGCCGAGCTCCTCGCCTCCCTTTCCAAATCCCTTGACTCCATCAGCGCAGGCTCAACATCCGCCCTCGACGCCTTCTACCAATCCAATACAGCCCTGAAAGGCTGGTTCGAAACCTGGCTCTCAGTTCCCCAGGAGTTCTTCTACTGCATACCCATCTCGATAGCCTCTCACATGGTCTACGCCGTCATGATGATGAGCCGCTGGTCCTGGCTTACAACAAGAGGCAAAACATCGCCCGAGCCGCAGACGGACCCCGCAGATCCGTCAGAGGATAACCCCAACGTCGCGCTGGCGGCCATGGAAGCCGCTATCAGCCCCAATACCCCCGCGTCGACGTCGACCCCGTCGGCTGAGACGAAGGGATCTTCGCCGTGGCAGACGACGTTGCCTGATAAGGATCTGCCTCAGGTGCTGGCGGCCCTGAAGGCTCGGCTTTCGACACAGCCTGACCTTATGCTCGATGTGGAGGGGTACCTCAACCGGATCGTCGCCCAGCTGCAGACCATTGACGCGCTGTACTCTGAAATGTCAGTCGACGAAGGCGAGTGGCGCGGGAATATCTGGAGTCTGGGCGCGACAAAAGTCAAGATTGCGATGTTGAGACAGCAGAGGTGGTCCAAGGTCATTGCTGCGCAGGCGGAGGAGCGGGAGTTGGAGATCCATAGCGCGGCAGGGGAGCAGCTTGGGCTGGGGGAGATTGAGATGCAGGAGAACTTCCTTGCATCGTTGCAGATGCCTGAGTGGGATGCGAGTATGGTCTGGGATCCGCACAGGTATTATAATCCAATGCCCGAGGACCCGGCGCTCTGGACTGATGTTCCTGGGGATCAGGATTGGGGGGCGGGTGTGAATGGGATGGGGGGGATGGGGTCGCTTGGCCAGATGCCGGAGGGGAGATATATGTAACTTGTAAGATAGTGGTCTGAAAGCGGTTGTCTAGATTTCAAGAAGATCCATTTTCTACTCAATTTGGTATCGTGTGATATCAGCTAAGTGACTGAGCTGAGATGCCAGACGCGATGTCGGCTTCAGACCCGGGAATTGTGGAGTTGACGCCATTTATGAGTCTCAAAATTTGCCAGGCTGTCATCGGGCATTGTGGCAGAGTGGTCTAATGCGCAAGACTAGAAATCTTGTTCCTTCGGGAGCGTCTGTTCGAATCAGGCCAATGTCGATTTTTTTGTTTTTGTGCCATGTCATTTACCTGACTTTTGCAATTTTTCATGTTTATCATGAAATCTTTATTGCTTTATAGTCGTAGTTGCATTTGGGCAAGCCAATGAGTAAAACTTTAAATGTCCGTTGGTAATTGTTACCCCAAACTCTCTGCTTTGTAACCCTTCCCTGTCCCCTGTCAATCGTTGCTGTTTTTTAGTGTTTTTACGGTTTAAACATCCCTATCGTGCCTTACTGGCCGAACGACTGGACATACTCTCGATTCGATATACATCAGCAAATGGTTGCCAGTGAATGCGTTCCCTACAGGCAAGCTGATCTACAACCAGACTCCTGTAGTCTGAGTCTTCTTACATGCCTCACTCCCTCCTACGTAGAGTACCTTATGCGACATCACATTCACAAAGTGCGGATAAGACGGCACCTAGTTTCATAGTCTCCGAACCAGCATAGCTCTTGAACAAAACAATTCTTTAGTCTACTTGATTACGCGTCAAACGTCTACGGTGCAGCGGGGACAGCTCCCGAAGAACCCTGCCAACTCTTACCCAACAACCCACCACCGCCGCCCTTCTTCTTCTTCTCCTCCTCTTCCATCTTCAACACCAACTCTCCAAGCAATCCATTCGCCCACCCGAACCACGCACGCGTCCAGTCCTTCTCGTCCCAGCTGTTTACGCTCTCGTGCAAAACGCCTGAGCCGGCCGTCGAATCTAGCACCATCCGCAACTGCTCCTCGACATCCTTCTCTACGTCCTTGCTGCCCGAAATCGGATCGTATGCTGTGATAGCAGCAATGACGGCCGCCATGGGCCACGCTTTACCAGGTCCTACGTGTGGCCCGCCAACGGCGGAGATGGCGGGGCCCTTCATGTAGTACGAGTTCGCGTCGCTGAGGACGTACTTGCGCGTGTTGCGGTACACCTCGGTGTAGTCGTGCAGCTTCTCGCCCTTGGGCGGATCCGGATACTTGAAGTTGGAGTGCGTAAAGTTCCAAAGAGGTATGGCGAGGAGAGACGGTACGTTGGCGTCATCCATCAAATTCGCGCCGCCGTAGCCGTCCACCTCGTATGCGAAAATGTCACCGAACCCGGGCCGGTGCACAATGGCGTCCTTTTCGATGCCCTGTCGGATCCCAAACGCCTGCGCGCGCATCTCAATCGTCAGCTTCTTGGCTTTTTCGCCGTCGAGCTTGGCCATGATCTCGGACGCGGACTCGAGGTACTTTGCCCACATCATGTTGGCCGGCACCAGGAACTGAAAGATACAGGCGTCATCCGAAGGACGGAACGCCGTGCGAATCATGCCGTTTTCCTTGATCGGGTTTCCCAAGCCGTCGTTGGTCAGCGTCTCGCTGCCGCGGTTCGTCCACCCCGTAAACGTCCACGCCGACTTTTCCACTTTACCCTCGGGCGAGTAGGTACCCAGCCGCATCGCGCCCGCGGCGTTGACGGCGGCCTCGACGGCGTCGACCCAGTGGTATTTGTTAAAGTGCTGCCAGTCGCCCGTCTTCTCAGCGTATGAGACGGACATTTTCAGAAACGAGCCGAGCGAGTCGAGCTCCCATTTGCAGTCGAACACCTTTTCCGGATCGTACGCCGGCATGGGGTGGTTGTGCACGTACGCGCCGTTGTGCGTCGGCGGGATGCCGCTCTCGGGCGGCGGCTGGAAGCTGTGGCAATACGGCGAGATAATGACGTAGCGCGCGTGGGCGTTGATGAGGCCGCGCCAGAGGCTGGCGAGGGAGTTTGGGTCCCGCGAGGCCTCGAGGAGGGGCAGGTAAGGGCTGATTTGCTCGGCCGAGTCGCGTAGCCAGAGAGCGTCAATGTCGCCGGTGATGACATACGTGAGTTCCTGGTCCGTCGCCCTGGATTCGCCCGTCGCCTTGTCCGTCTCGTTGGCGTACCCCCTCCACTTGACCATGCTGTCGAGCGTCATGGGATACGCGTTCTCAAAAAGGCGGTACAGGTCAGGATCCTTGATGACGCCCTTCATGCGGATGATGAGGTTGTCCATGGCGGGGAGGCGGAACGTGCGACATTCCGGCCGGGGTCGGTTGAGCGGGAACTTGCGCTTGCCCTCGGACGCCGGACCGGGCCGCGAGCGCATCCAGTTCTCAAAGGACTCGCAGTCCGCTGCGGGTGGCGGTGTCGTCGGCATCGGCGACGACGCGGGCGCGCTGGGTTTCGGATCCCCGGGTCGGCCGGCGTCCGTGGGCGGCTGCTTGGCTAGCTCCTCGTCCTTGTTGCGGTACGAGTCCTGGCCCTCCTCGGCGTCGGCCTTGAGCTTGTCGGCGGCGGCATCGGGTTCGCCGTGTGCTACCGGGAGTTCCTTGTCCTCGTCCTGGTTTCCGAGTGGTTGCTTGCCGGCATCACCGCCGGCGGTGGTGGATGATTTGCCATTGTTCGCGACGCCGGCTGCTGCTGATCGCGCCGAGTCGAGGTAGCTACCGCCGCCTGCAAGACCAGAGTTGTTGAGGAAGAGTACAAAGATGATGATGAGAAGGGCAATGAATACGACGCGCGCGCGACGTGTCTGGATGCCGCCGCTCAGGACGGTGAAGGCTGGCATGGTGCTTCGTGTTTGTGGCGTCACCCCCTTGGGCGCGTCGTCCGTTCCAGTGAGTTTGTCTTCAGTGAGCGTTCCTGTGAGATGAGATCCCCGACGAATGTTGTGTCTTTCTCCCTTTCTGACGCCGATAATGAGTGTGGCGTTATGAGTGTTCACTCAGCTCATCCAGCCCATGACCAACTATTGAAATTCTCTCACTTCAAGTCAATTAGACATCGTGTGCAATGTTTCTAAAAGGCGGAGAAGAGAACTCAAGAGGAGTTGACGACCTGACGTGCTTCAGGCGACGGTGTCGATTCCCACCCCAAAAGGTTTAAAAAGTAAGGGGGTCACCCTCGCTCGGCATCCCACTATAGTTGGATTTTAGTTCCAGGGCGCCGTCTCGGTCGGTTCCAAGCAATTTCGGGTCGCTCGTGTTGCAGGATGATCCTTGACTAGTTTGGTTCTCTACTCTGATCAAACTTCTTGCGGGGAGGGGGGCATATTAAGGGACCACGAGGGACCTTGGACAGGACGACAAGAACTTTTTATTGATTCTTGAATGGTCCCCTCATTAGTACGAAAAATACGAATAATCTGTCTGCTTTCATCCTGCTGATTGGATTGGCCGCCGCAATGAAGCATGGCTTACAACCTAGTTCTTCTTGGGTCAACCTGCGCAACCACTCTGCTTCATCTGAGCGCGGGGGAACAACTAATCCAATCACGGACAACTGGCTCCGAACTGTGAACGAACCACGCGACACTCGGGTTGCGCCGCACTATCAAACGGTTGCAGCGTTGTGTGGCTGACCACCGCGCGAACAGTGGCTTCATGCAAGAACGCGTAAAAACATGCAATGAGGCAAAAGATTTAGTGCGATATCTCGACGTTGGCCTGATTCGAACAGACGCTCCCGAAGGGAGCGAGATTTCTAGTCTTGCGCATTAGACCACTCTGCCACAACGCCGAAGTTGTCGTGAACCCGCAATGAAGCGGGGATGCTGAGGAGTGGGCTTCGGTGCCACTACACCTCTCACGACAGCCTCAATTTGTCGACGGATTTTTCTGAGATCGCCACGCGAATATGGAGGAGTAAATTGAGTTGACAAGACGCGTATTGGCTAGCTTAGGTTACCGGTGGGATTCATGCCCACCCAGCTCAACGCGTTCGCCCACTCCTGAAACCTTGCGACTCATTGACGCAAACTCTGATAACTGGGACTGCTCCCAGCGGAATCATGGACGGCAAGTTCACAATACAGCTTGAACGTTCGCCAAAGGACATCACAGCTTGAATAACCGCGGCTCCGTCCCCTCCTCCGCCGCCCGCCGGACAATCCCCCGGTTCTTAACCCCATAATACACCCTCAGCGCCGCACACCCAACAACCACAACAAAAAGCAGCGCCGCATTAGCCCAGTGGCCCGTCGGGTACCCCCGGGTCTTCTCCTCGGCCTTGTAGACCCATACGCCCGGGATCTGCCCGAGCCCGGCGCCGATGCTGACGTTGAGCGCGATGGCGAGCCCCGTCGCCGCCGTGCTGAAGATGTTGGACGTCAGCCAGCCCAGCAGCGGCGGGATGCACGCAAAGGCGCCCGAGGCGCCGACGATGAGGCAGCCGTAGCGCGCGTTGTAGGCGTCGGGCGGGAGTACGGCCGACACGGCGAAGGCGACGCCGCCGATGAGGGCTAGGGCGCCTGAGTGGACGCCGCGGGCGTTGAAGTGGTCTGCGGACCAGGCTACGAGGATTTGGACGACTGCTTGAGGGTTAGCTATCTGAAGGTGAGGAATGAAGACTCGTTCTGTCAAGGAAGTTCTCGTCACAACGTACCGTATGCTGCAGCATATGGGGGAACTGACATCAGTTGCGCTTGTAGATCGACGAACCCGAGTCCCGACGTGATGGACGGCGTGAACAGCGACAGCGATGAGAACGGTGTCGACATGGCAAAGTACACCAGGTAGTGCCCATACAGTCTCCAATCCGTCAGCGTCGCCTTGGCTTCCTCCCACGACATGGTCTTGTGGCTGCTCTTGCTACCCTCGTGGTAGAGCCTCCGTAGCGCGAGGTCCTTCTCTCGTTCTGAAAGCCAGCCGGCGCTTTCGGGATAATCAGGTAAGAAGAACCACACGAAAAAAGCCGACAGACACGAAGGGATACCCTCGAGGATGAAGAGCCACCGCCACCCCGACATACCGTGCACCTGGTTCATGTGCCCGATCCCATACGCAATCGCCCCGCCAAACGCACCCGCCAACGTCGCGCTCGCGAGGATCATGGCGACCCTCACGCTCCTCTCGTCGTGCTTGTACCAAAAGGTGAGATAGTACACCAGCCCCGGAAACAGCCCGGCCTCAAAGACGCCTAGGAGGAACCGCACGCCCGTTACCGTCGCGAAGCTATTTGCGCCGCCAAGGCCGATTGTGACGGAGCCCCATGAGAACATGAGGAAAGCGAGCCAGCGCGAGGGCCGGAGCTTCTTGAGGAGGATGTTGGAAGGGACCTCGAAAATCGCATAGGCGATGAGGAAGATCATGAGGGCGATTGTGAAGTCGTGGTTGGACATGTGCGTCTCGGTTTGCATGTCGTGGCCCGTGGAGGAGTTTAGGATCTTTGCGTTGCCAATGTTGGAGCGATCGAGGAAGCAGAGGAAGTAGATGCTTGCGGAGAGCGGGATGATGCGCTTGTCTTGTTTCCAGAGGAGGGCCTTTTCTTCTTCAGCGTCGGCTGGGGTTGGGGAGGATGGTGAGGGTTCCTGTGATGATTTGGTTAGCCCTGGTATGTCTTGTGGTCTTCTGGTTTACGTGGTGACTACCTCTTTCACGGCGGGCGATTCAACATCCTCCCGACCTGGGGCGAACGAGCCCTTCTCCTCTGAATGCGAGGCCATCTTCAATGTCGAGAACGGGGTGCTGCTGAGTAGAACCTCGGTTGTGAGCACCGTCAGGGCTGAGTGTGAGCGCAGACAAGCTTTTTGGCCATAGAGGTCTCGCTATCTTCAGCCTTGAACTGTCAACATTGAAGTACCAACACAGAGGATGATTTCTGACTTTCATCACACAGGAAGAATCGGCAGCCTTTTCATCTCATCGGCCGAGGTGGGTTTCCCCATCCCCCGCATCCGCGGGGAAGCTTCTCCTCACCTCCAACACGAAAATCTCACCAAAAGCCTGCATGTGCCGCCATGCCGCTCCAGCGTCGCTATCTGGTGTGGGGTGTTTGTGATTTTCGCGAATCAACGGCTCGCTGTTGTAGTGCGACGATCGGCCGTGCTTGATGCAATTATGCAGGTTTAGCCAGACCAGTCACACACGATGACTGAGAACCGGAGTAGGAGGGAGATATGGGAGGTTGGGGGGATTCGCCTAAGACAATGCCCTGTCCCTCGCTTTATTTGGTGTTGGGTAGAATTGGGATCTGCAAAGCCAACGACCGAATCTTAGACCGCCTACATGACTGTTTGATCGTCGTTTATCGAGTCGTCAACTGTGCGATAAAGGAAACGACATTCTCTCTCGAACATAAAACCAGAAAAATCGCAACCTCGGATTCCCGCAAACTCATTTCCGCTTAGCTCGGTGAATCAGCAAACTGTCGTTTGAGTTGTGCGCCGAAGGCCCGAGACTACACGGGTCTGGATTGATTCATATTCAGGCGAATTTGCTGACATCCTCAATTTCGGACTTATCAACTGGAAATAGGAACCCAAAGTCGCTCAGTTGTAGTTTCGATAATATGAGAGTTGTTGTCCAACTCAAGACTAAGGAACTTCCCGCATTTCCACAAATACGATGTCTCATTCCATGCACATATCCGCTCACAATAGCTGCAGCCTGCAGGTTATGATTCTGAATCTGCCGAACTCCTAGGCCAACTAAATCTAGTTTGGGCAGATGTGATAGGCTGCAAAACGACTAATCTGCTGTTCGCTGCTGATTATATCCGTTCTCATCGCGTTGCGTTCCTGAATACCTTCAGCTGCAGCCAAGATGGATCGCGGGGTCTAAGACAACGTGCCGTTTCCGGTAGTTCAAGGACACTTATGGGGAAACAGCCCCTTGAGATATGAGCCCATTTCACATGCTAGCATCTGGAATCCCATTTACTTTCAGCCCTAGATGACTGCGAGCCGACTGGCTTCTCGTTGATATAATGGCCCCATGGGCGGCACCTTCGTCTCTGCTGTCGCCTGCTTCTCGCAACCCGATGTGTAACCTACTTCGATTGGAACAAGAAAGCAGTCAGAATGTCGACAGAATACGTCAAGTGCGCCCACAGAACCATCCCAGATGATGGCAACTTTGCAAACAGAAAAAGGCTAGTGATCTGCTGTGATGGCACGTGGAACAACTCGTAAGTCGGGCAACAGATGCGCATAGTTCTGCCCGTCTAGAGCGTACTGACATGGTTCCCTCAAGCAACAATGGCGGCGTACCCACCAACGTGAGTCGGCTGTCTTCTGCAGTCGCACACAAGTGCTGCACCGGCATGGCCCAAGTAGTCTACTACCACCGCGGCCCTGGAACGGAACAAGACAAGTGGGCCAGCTTTGTGGGAGGCCTGTTCGGTCTGGGTGTAAAACAGGTATGCGACAGTGACAGACGACCGAGAAAGATGGTGCCCGAATGATGCTGAACGGGACTAGGATATTGTGGATTGTTACCGCTTCATCTGCGATAACTACAACCCAGGAGACGAGATCATTATCGTCGGCTTCTCGCGAGGCGCTTTCACGGCCCGGTCACTCGCAGGCATGGTCTGCACGCTTGGTTTCCTCAACCGCTCTGGAATCAGCAGCCTACACGCCATTTACAACGACTACAAGGCCTTCAACGACTGGAAGCATCCTAACATGTTTGACCCCAAGGTGCATCTACTGGGTTTCAACCACGACCAGTTGAAGATGAAGATAGAGAAGGAGTACATGGCAGAGATTCAGCCGCTCGAAGATCAATTGGACCCCATGTGTGTCGGAGAGTTATCCGAAGAAGCGTTTTGGGATGTGGAGGAGAAGCTATTGAAACTCCTCGAACGTTACGAAAAAGCTATGAGTCAAGAAGCGTTGGAGAAGCAGCTGTATGACGACAAGAAGAAGTTGTTTACAAAGATGACTCAATTCAAACGGCCAGATGGCACCATGAAGTTTCGCCTCATGGCAGAGGCGTATCGCCAGCAGCTGAGCGATGTAAGTGATGTCTCGCTAGTCTCAAATGCTTGACTTGATGGCTGACTTCTCAGTACGAATTATGCTTGACTCGCATGATGGAAAAAGACGGCAAGGTTTCACACGAAGCCGTGGAAGGAAATATCAAGGCAGTCGGTCAGTTCATCTCCACCCCCAACGCTCAGTTCAACTCGAGTCTGCGGTAGCTAATCACCCCATTCGAATAGGCGTTTGGGAGACAGTAGGCAGTCTTGGGATTCCTAGGATGCCGTGGTGCAACTTGCACACCGCCGGCCGCCGTGCCGAGGAGGTAAGGATTCACCCTTGGAGGAAGTCCCGGGCTGCGATGGCAATATTTGTGCAATTATTAAACGACGCTTGACTACCAGCTCCGATTTGCAAGCTACAACGTCCACCCCAACATCGATCACGCGTTTCACGCCCTTGCCCTGGACGAATTCAGAAGCCCTTTCGCTCCCACGCTTTGGAGGTGCAAGAGGTCGAACACAAATACTCAGCTTCGCCAGGTTTGGTTTCCTGGATGCCACAGCAACGTCGGCGGAGGCTCCGATTCACAGCAAATCTCCAAGATTGCCCTTGGATGTACGTTACGCACCCCTTGTGCTGCACTCTCCGCTAGGGTTACTTGATGAACCTAGACTAACTCGGTGTTGCCAGGGATGGCGGATCAATTGACTTCCGTCGGGGTGGAATTCAGCACGTGCGAAATGCAGCGCATCTTCAGCACAATCTCCCACGGAGATACCATTCGGCCCTGGGGTCTCGGTGAGATCACCAGTCCGACATCTTTGGTCACGACCGGTCTCGACAGGGCTTGGAACATGATCACAGCGCCGTATCATGCGTACCACGGTCAATTCGCAGAGAGCTCGGCGCGGACGCCTCATTTCTACCGAGATGAGTCAGATGACGGCGACAAGAAGGTTTTGACACACACCAAGGAGCTGGTTCACCCCTGCGTCAGAGTCCGGTACCTGTACAACGGTCTCGGGCTAGACGACAAGGCTGAGTGGCGCTGTAATGCCCTCACTGGGCGCGGTTGGGACCTGAAGCTTGATGGAGGCGTAGTTCCAACCGAGATTCGGCAAGGTCGCGACCCGAAGATCGTGGACAAGTACAAGACCGTGGGCGGATCCGTCACCGCCATTCATCAACAGTATCCGAAAATTCAAGCTGAGGAAGGCAATCTCGTTGATACTGAGCAGCCCTCGGAAAAGAATATGTGGCAGTTGAAGGCTCCGAAAAACACTTATACTTGGACCCACCCAGAAGGCAAGGTGCTCAAAGAAGAGCAAATCGGCATGTGGGAGCGCATGTTCATCGACATCAACGACGACCTCGTCGACTTGAAACAGAGGAGCGACAATGAGAAGAGAGACAAACGGACGCGCGGTGACCGCCTAAGAGACCAGGCGACGAGCAGGGTGTACTACGCCCTGAGCATGGCGGAGTGGATTGTGAAGGCTTCCGTCGGCGCGATCTTGGGCACGCGGCCGGACAAGCAGTACCCGATCGGGTACCCGTTGCAGCATGGGTACTACGACTTTGTGTCGTGGCAGAGGGGCCTCAAGCATGGTGCTTCGGAGGTTGACTCGTCGGCGGAGGACGTGCAGGCAACTGAGAATGGCGATGTCCATGTTCATTATCACTGGATGAATGATGGTACGTAATGAGAGGTCTCGACTTAACCTGTAGGTTTATACCAGGCATGGGATACTTGGCGATTTACTTTCATTTGTCTGCTGGAACTTTATATTTTCGGATGCCCAAGGTTCTTGGCTCGAGACTTCTGCAACGTTGCCAATCAGTTGGGTAAAAAGGATAGCCCCTTTGTAACAGTCTGGACGAACAAAGAAGCAGCTATATTGTTCATTAAAGCGCAATTTTATTTGAACCCTTCACATAGCGACTCAACTTGAGCAAGTGAAGTGTTTCAATATTCCAGCAACGTGCTTAGACTTTGACCTGGGAGCCATAACCACGAATCGACCAAGCCTTTCCACTTTCAAAGTACGGCACGATGGGCCCGGGAGAGCTTCCTAGACTATTTGATTTGCCGAAGAGAACGAACTGAAAGGTTTCCTTCGTCAAATAGAAAGTTATCAGTCATCTCGACATCTCAAGGCTTCTCGAAGGGAGGGGGGGCAAGCACTCGGGTCTACATATTGCCGTCGGTCGTCTCAGGGGACCATACAAGTCCACACCCTGACCCCTACTACAGTGAAGCAAAGAGGCACGACTGGCTTAATCATCTCCAACATGGAAATGTAAACTTTCGACCTATGCTATCCACGTTGCGGCTAAGCTCGCCCGCTCGGTTTGGCAGGTGCCAAGTCGAGCCGCAGGCAGCAGTAAAATGAGCCAATGGCCCAACTCTTACACGTACAACCCCTGACCGAAGGATTTCCATGCAGCCAGGTAGTTGAACTCGTATAGAGTATCGATCACACGTAATAATCCTAGTAATGGCATGCGGGATGCCATGCAGGAACGCTCTTGTAGCTGCCAACCTATCAAGAGTCGAGGTCGCAGCATGATCTTCAGGGACCGCCGAGAAGATGCCGACTCAAGGAACGGCCCGTACATCTCTCCTGAGTCCTCGGTAATGCAGGACACCAAACCGTTCACAAATACGAGCCTGACTTGGAACTCATCCTAGAGAAATGAGTTGCATAAGAATGCCTCCTCATCCGTCTCTCAGAAGCCTGCAAACCTATCCTAGAGCGAGACGCCATCATCATGAGCAACGCATCCCCGGGAAACGACCAGGCCATTCCGCGTTATACGGCCAAGATGCTCTCCCTGAAGACTATCCTCGCGCTCTGTGCCACCATGATAAGCACAACCACAGCCGTAAGCTCCATCTCCGACACCCAAATGACAAACCTCCTCAACGAAGGCGGCATCGGCCTCGCCATGGCCGCCCAACCAATGTGGTTCTTCGGCCAAGCGATGAACCAGCCCCCGTGTATCCCAACACACGCAGTCCTCGACGGGCAACAAACCCCCGGCGCCGAGCTCTGCGGATGGCCGGACGCGGGATGTAACTGCCGGAAACCGGGCGTGGGGATCGGGAACGCGGCCCCGGATTTCCCAGTGTATTACAGTTACAGCAAGTGCAACGATAATGAGGTCCGGGTTGTGTATAATTTGTTCTATGAGAAGGATGGATTTACGCCGTCTGGTGTGTTTGGACACAAGTAGTAGGTCCCAACCTCCCCCGGCGTCTCGATATACGGATGTAACTGACAGATCATCCAACAACAGCGACTGGGAAAGAGTAATAGTCATCTGGGCAAAAGACTCCGCAAGCAACTGGCAGCCCTCACAGCTCTTACTCTCCCAACACTCAGGCTACGACCGCAAGAACTGGGGCGACATCCAAAACACCTTCAACACCGTCGACGCAACCCTCCCCCGCGGCGGAGACAACGGCAGAAAGAACCTCGACCATCCGAAAGTCTACGTCGCGTGGTCGAAGCACGCCATCTACCACGATAGGAATACAGGATGGAACGATTTGCTTTCCCAGCTGACGAATAATGCCTTTCGGTCGCAGGATTGGTGGCATTACCATGCGAGTAGTAAGTCTTCTCGAACTAGTTCTTGAGTTTGGGTGTGTCGTATGCCAGGGATACAGAGACTGACGGGTGATAGGCTCGTACATCCGCGCTGATGGCTCGACCGATACCGGGAGGCAGATGGCTGGGATGAATTGGGGATCGGCTACGAGTCATCCAGCAAGTGTCCATGAAGGGCTATGTTCTGCCTGAGTTGCCAAATATAGGACTCTCCAAGGGACAGAGTTTCGCAGCTCAATGTCAGAGAGGTATCCCATCTTCGAAACCGTTATCGTCTACTCATTTAGCGAACTACTATGTACCCTTAACGGGAGTGTATCTTCCAAAGTGATGCCTCTCCAGGGAGACGTTTTCTCCCATCAAATCCACAACATCAACGATGTGAAGCGGGTCGTGTACTGGCTCATTTGTAACTCCGACATGGAATCTGGTAAACGTCCTCAAAGAACTCCGATTGAATAAGTCTGAAAGGAGCTCGCTATCTCCGCCAGATTCGGGCCTCTTGCTCGCGCCAGAGATTCGACGTACGTACTCCGCCGGCCATGCCTCAGATTCAGCCTGCACCGTGTGCGCAACGGCTTCAATGGTCGACCCGGGAGGTATATTCACCACCCGGTTCACCATCCATGACGGCTCCGTTTCGAAGCGGAGGATGCCGCTGTCATCGGCATCTTTCGAAAAGTACTGGTATTGCAAGACAAGAGCGAGCTCCCCTTCCCCATCATTATGTGACCCTAGTGGACCTTTGAGGGGAATCACAATTGGCGACGCAAGGCCATACGATCTGTCCAGGCGATGCGTTATTGAAAAACCAGAGGGGCCATTATCATTCCGTCTGAACGTATACGGGGAACCAAGACTATACTATACCCCTTAGGTAGGGTCCGAACGGCACATCCTTTTTGGGCGAAGACGCGATGGATTTCAACTCCAATCCATGACGAGGGTTGAAATTTGATGAAAGTCGAACAGAGACTCCCACTCGCCCATACGGTTATTGGAAAGGTCAAAAGCAATCTTGATCGCCTGTAAAATAACCTTCCCTCCAAAAGGCGGCTATCAGGTGTGGGCCTGTCTGTGCTATCGAGAGCAAGTGCGATGACGTTGAAGACTTGATTGCGGCGCCGACAGAGCAGAGGTGCCAAGAAATTAGTGGAGGGGCGGCTCAAGCTCCATTTGTAATAATCTGCCCCTACTAGAAGTGGAGTCACAATGGTGATGCCCGAAGTCTCGACGCGCAATGGAGCACTGGGAATACCATTGGGGATTGGTTCGACGTCGCCGCATCCCTTGAAATCTGTAGGACTTGCCGCAAAGAGCGGCAAGCCGTCCGGGTCCTCCGGGAAGGACGGAAGGTTGACCGTGTCCTCCTCGCAAATAGTTCCCCACGCGAAGATGGACTGGTCGTTGTTATCTAGAATAATTGCCTCTTGTAGTCTCTTGAAGGCCTTGGTGCCTTCACCGTAGATGAGCGGCATATTGACGTCAAAGATACCCAGCAGGCAATAGGCAACGTCTTCAGTTCGGGTCGTCATCCTTTGTGAGGCCCAACTCATCCGCTCGGCTACACTCGCGCTTTCCAGGCTCCGCCCCTCCGAAAGGTAAGGTCTTTCAATACCTGTCCTCTGCTCTATGACGTCGTCGAAAAGGCCTCGCAGCCCTAGAAGTCTCCAATCTTGTGCATAAAAGACCAGAGATGATGGGGCCAGGAGCTCTTGGAGTGTCCAGCCGCGGGTGAACCACCGACTCCCAGCCAGAGCCGTCCCACACTTGTCGGTCCCCGGCTTATAGTATGCCACGTCGGAGAGGTAGGCTAAGCAGAGGCGGGCCCCTTGGTACCACTTGAACATAGAGTTGAGGGCCTCGGAGAGCTCGCTGCTGCTGGCCTTGTCGATGCAGCAAGTATCAATCCAGATCCAGGAGTGGCCCCGTTCGCGGGCCACGCGGCAGGCAGACTGGATCTTGGTCCATCCAGCTTTAGCTGAGGGGCCCTTTTCAAGATCTCGAAAGAGGACTTCTTCGTCGCCCCAAGTGTGCGAAAGAATGGCGTATTCGGGAATGTGGCCCTCGACAAACTCGCTCAGTTCCAACATAGTCGTTTCTAGAAGCCGCATTTTGCCTGGTTGGCTCAGTCGCGATGTCGTAGCATGACAATGTATTGTTATCCAACCAGACGTTCTCGAAAGAAGAGTTGAGGGGTTGCCGGGGATCAGGCTATCAGCAACCAAAATGCGCTCATACGAAGCAGAGCTGCGTGATTGGGCTATTCCGTGGGGGTCATATCAGCGCCGCAGCCCTGCATGATGCCCTTGCACGACCGAGAGGAGCAATTGAGAAGCGGCTGAGAGGCACTCCGAATCATCTCGCATCAAGGGCGATTACAATTCTGGCTGAAGATATTGGGGTCCTTCATTTGACTGAGTTGAAGGTGCTAGCAGATAATGGTATGCCGGTGAAGCTAAGTAGTCACCGAGGGAATACCAACGGCTAGGATATCAACGATAGTGTGAGCTCACATCGGGCAAAGGCGCTGCAACGCACCGGTGAGTGAGTACCATTCTGATTTCAGATCAAACACGGGTCCAAGTAACACCTACATGGAACTGAACGATGTTGTTGAAGAACGTCGTGTGAGATCGTGTGAGAAAAAGAAGAAACAGCCATCACAAACATTGAATCCTCAAGCTGACGTAAGGAATCTAACACATTCCCAGCTCAGCTCCCCTCAGTCCAAAGACCACCGACCGGCCCAAGCTCCTGCACGCCATAGCCCCACGAGCTTAAGCAGCCAAAAAAAAAAAAACAAAAAAAAAAACCAAAAAAAAAAGAAGGGGAAGGCAAGGCCAGTAACGCCCGGACCTTACTACGCCCCCGACTGCAGTTTCCCCGCCAGTCGCCCCTTGGTCCAAGCACCCCGTGCCCCTCCTCCCCGAAAAGGAAAAGAAGGAGAAGACGGAATAGAAGGAAAGAAAGCCCCCGCGAGTCACGACGATACAACAGTAATACACCAGTGACATTCTCACTAATTAAGGCTACCTTGGATGCCACAACGCGGTCTGATGGCCCAGAGTTTTAACTTTGGAGACAAGCAATCAAATTTCATCACTTTCCTGCAAATAGAGAAGAAACAGTAGCATTCTTTTCCATCCCTACTAACGTACCGAATACTAATATTTAATGGACGCCGTTCGAGAATTTTCAGCCCAGAAAAGTGCCTACTGTAGCGGTTCCGTCGTCATCTTTGTTCGCATCTCGAATCCCGCATTCTGCAACACCCCCGCCAACATCGCAGCATCCAACCACCAAAAACATCACCAAAACACATACAAACCGGGACCCCCTCCTCCCCCTAACCTCGCAGAACATGGCCAAAGCAGATCCACTCATAATAAACTCCTACACAATCAAAATCACGCAACCCACCCTCATCCCAGTAACCTACCATTGCCTCATCCCAAAAACCTACCAAACCCTCCTCACCATCCTCAACCCCACCTCCATCCAGCCCTTCCTCTCCGCCACGCCCCTAACATCCATCTCAAAACTAGTCTACTCAAACCCAGACTCGCACTTCTACTCAGACGCCCACACCCTCCAACTCCTCGCCTACGCACTCTTCCACGCCGTCATCTCCTACGGCCTCTCCGTCGAGCTCCCCCGAACGCTGCGCCGTCCCGGCCAAAGTCCAACTCCGCCTATGGCGCGTCTACCAGACCGCCCTCCTCCTCGTCGACATGTCCCTGCTCTACAGCGCCCATATAAATTTTACTAGCGAGGGGAACCCCATAACCCCGGGGGCGTGGCGCACATTCGACCGGATCCTCGTGACTTTAACGCAGGTGGCAGCGCTCACGAGGGTTCTGTTTCTGCTCAAGGTGGGGGGTTCCCGTTGTCGCCTGAGGAGCTGCTGCAGCAGCAGAAGGAGGAGCAACGGGCATACTGGGCAGAGTCAAATAGGAAAAGTCGCGGATGGTGAATGGTGTTGTTGTTTAGGGACCTCAAGCGTAGTGTGCAACAGTCAATGGGGAGTCATCGTCACACCGATATGGAAACGAACGGCCGGATGTACTTGGCATCACGTGCCTTTGATAACGGTAACGAAATGAATTAGGGTATCATCAAGTCCAGTCTATCCTCAGCCCATCCCCGCCAAAAGTCGTCTGAGAAACCAAACATGATGCCCTGTAATGCCGTCTGCTTCTCGTAACGAGTTGCGCCTCCCTTAAATAGGCTTATTCTATGATCCAAACAATTCCACGCCGCGCCACAAATCGTACAAAACATCTTCTCTCATAACAGCGTCAAGATTCCCCAATTACACCCCTTCCCATCATCATCTGAGCCCGAATGCCCCCTTTTCAACAATGAATCGGACGGGGTGTCTTGCTCTTCTCCGGAAGCTTAGCGGCCTTGCCCCACGTCCACCGTGGTTCGTAGCAGCCGGCGTCGGGCTAGGCAACGGCAAAGGCACTTGTCCCGGCGACAGGCCGTTTCCACCACGCTCATCGAATCCCCACCGCATAACCCCTCCGCTTCGGATCCAGTTCTCCAAATTCCGGCACTGACTAACGTCCACCCATTGTAGTCGACTACATCCTTCAAGCAGATTCTCGACACCGCCGCCAGTGACTCTAACGCAGCCGCGAACCGAGATTCCCTCCAACTCATTCAAGTGCAGTGCAACCGACTGCAAGCTTGCATCCGAGACGGCACTGCCGCAGAACGAGAGGCGAAGTTCGCGCAACTGAGGCAATCCCAGCGCGACGACCTCCGTGGCGGTATCGGACAGAGCGCAGCAAAAGGACAGATCCAAGTGCGTCAGGTTCTTGGCCGCACCCACAAGGGCGACGACCGCGTTGTCAGAGAGGTAAGTGCAGTCCGCAAGGCACAGGTGAGACAGGTTAAGGAACCGGTAGGGAGCCCAAGACTGGAAGCCGGCGTCTGAAATCGACGTGCATCGAGTCAGGGACAACGACTGCAATCGATTGGACGCATGAGCAGCGAGGTGTGCCATTGACCTGTCGGTAATGTGTTTGCAGTACGACAGGTTGAGATGCTTAAGGGCAGGGCAACCAATAATGGTTCCCGGCTTGGGGATGTTTGCAGCTCTCTGTTGAGCCTGTTGCGTCGCGGCCTTTTGAGGCTTCGACTTGGCTGAAGAGCTGGATATCACCACCTGCTTGCTGGGCGGTTGGGGTGGTGGCGGCTCGGGGACTACCCAACCTACAACACGTGCAAGTAAGTTGTCGCCAACCTTGCGACAGTTGCTCCAGTCAATCTCCTCCAGACCCTTTGCGTTCTCTGCCATTTCCAAGATCTGATTTGCAGAGACATCCCACACAGATCGCATGCGCCATCGCTTAACATTGCGGCCACAGCTCTCCCAAAGACCTCGGAAACCGTCGTCGGTAATGTGGAAGCAGTTGCTAATGTCGATTGTCTCGGGGCGGTTGCCCACGAAAGGACCGATGACTGTTCGGATGGCCAGATCTGTGATTCTTCTGTTGTGCTCGGATAGGTCCAAATCCAGGCAGACCTTTGGGTGTGTCGTCAACAGCTTGCGCCAGTGGGACGAAATGATTCGCGCGCGCATCAGCTCCGCAACATTGAGGAATCGAAATACTTCCACAAGCAAGTCATCAGGAAGAGCTGGGGCCTGGGCCGGATGTGGACGCCGTGGCAGTGTCCGGGCTCGCTTGACAGGCAATTCTTGCTCAGGTGGCGACTGTGGCGGGAAAGAGAAGCGGAGAGGTGTCGACTCGATCTGGTGAGTTCGAAAGCCGTTCGTCACTATTGACGACGAGATGTCGGATTGCGGGGCAGGCAGGGCCAGGGAGTTGCGTCGCCTGTTTCGCATATTCTCCATGTCCACGCTCAAGAAAGGATCTGGGTCCTTGGGCTCCATTGTTTCCATATCGTCTTTTGTAGGTGACGTCGGTTTCGAGGGCGTCGTGAACGTGACGTGCGGTAGGGCTTTGGGTGTCGTCGGTGTCGGGGGGCCTGACTTGCTGGTTCGTTCCATAGGGTCCGCATCTGACATTTCAACGTCGTCGTCGGAATTCTTATATCTCTTACGAGCCGTTTCCTCAACCTGGGACTTGATATCGGGCGGGCATCGGCTCCAAAGAGTGTCTAATGCATCTCCGGGGATCATCAAACACTCGACCGTAGTAATCGCCCGCACTGTCGCTGTTCGACCTTCGGACAACCCAAGACTGGCCACTTCTCCAAAGTATTGACCTGCTTTCAATCTTGGCCTGAGATAGGTCGCACGAGCTATCTTCTTTGGGGGCTCATTTGGTGCTTCATGAACAACCTCTGCTTCACCTCGGACAATGAAGAAGATCTCGTTGCCGGCTGACCCTTGTTGAATAATGTCGGTAAACGGAGGGTATGTCTTTGGCTGAACGCTGAGTCCAAGCTGATGGAGGATGTCAGGAGGTAATGTGGAGAACAAAGGCAACTCTCGCAATGTTCGTCGCACGTTGACGAAACCACTCCCGAGGGCACTACCCGCAGCAGGGTCTTCGATGGCGCCAGGACTGGGAGATTTCCGCTTCTTAGAGTTGACGACGGTACCCTCTCTGATGGTGCCTACCTCACCCATAGACACTTCTCCTGGCACCGGTTCTCTTGCTCCATTGGTCTGTGTCGAGGCAGGCTTGATGAGTTGACCGCCTTCCTGGCGCTTCTTCTTGAGAATGTTTAAGCGCTCCTGAGCTTCGTGACGAATCGCCCGTTCCATATCCGGGAATTTCGGTAACTCGGCCTGGAGGTCTTCCTTCTTAAGGACCACCAGAAGGCATTTTGTGCGAGCCACAATGGTCGCAGTTCGAGGGACGTCCATCAATACTCCGATTTCTCCGAAAAAGGCCCCGGGCTTGAGTTCTGCATATATGGCTTCACCGTCTCTAGAGGTGACAGCCACAACTCCGCGCACCAGCCAGTACATTGCTCTGGCATCATCGCCCTCTGTGAGAATGTGGTCCTGTGCCGCATGAACCTGCGGTCTTAGATGGTTTCCGATGGCGGCTAAAAACTCCTCTGGCGCTGACACAAACAGGGGAAATGATCTGATGCGATCAACCAAGTCGAGCGGCATGTCGCGGATGGTGGAAGCGGTGAGAGGAGATGGGCGTATGGGGCGTGTAGGGTTCGTGTCAACGTTGAAGGACCTGAGGAGTGAGAGGGAATCCGGCACCCCGCCCGCGCCTGCGCCAGTATGGGCGAGGGCGCGGTAGGGCGAAGGGGACGTTGGGGAGCGATTCCGCCTCATGGTCCTCGAGGGATGCCGCGTGCGTGGTCGTGTCGACGCCAGGTTTTCGACGTGCCTTGCCGGCTAAGCTCTCCGCCCAGTGGGAAGGGCAGAGGGCCAAAGCTTCAACAGGGCTTTGCCAGTGCACACCCGGTCTGTAGCCTGTGCTCCGCAAGGGCGGCCGGAGGAGGAGAGTCCTCTCCGTGCCTGTGTTTAAAAGCTTCCTCCGGTGCTAGATTCCCGCGTTTTCCGTCGGTAGTGTAGACAGCAGACGAGGCTGGTGCATGCTCCGGAACGGCGACTTAATGTGCAAGGTATTGGATTCGCCGTGAGGAAGTGTCAATCGCGGGGTGTGGTAATGAGAGATACCCTGAAAATTGGGGACCTGTTATTTGTTTCGCGCTGTTTGACTCTCGATGTGGAAGTTTCCCCTTGGCGATTCGGGAGTGAGAGGCGATCGTGTTTGGCTTGAAGGCGGGGTCTTCGGAGGAGCTTTGAAAGTGGGAGGGTCGGGGTGGTCGACAACGCCGAGTGTCGCAGATCGTATCACGCAACGTCGCCGTTGGAAACGGTGTCTCTGGTCGCTTTTGGAACGACAATTCGCCGGCACGATGGAATGATTGATGAGGAATGCGGTGACACCAAGTGGCTGCGCGAAGACAGCAGCGGAAAGTTGTTGAGTGTCTGGTACCGGGTGCTGTGGAAGCTGAGTTTGGGTGGCAGATCTGCTGTGGAAGTCAAGTCAGAGAGAGAAACACACGGTCACTTTTGGCCGCTGGCGATTTCATGACGGACAGTAGGCGATGGAGCACTAACCAAGTCTTTCACGGTGAAGGTAGAAAGACAACTATTGCTGATTGGAATTGCTCTCGACCCGAAATAAACGACTCCTTACGCGGGGTTCGGCCGGTCGCAAGGAGCGGGTAGGCAAAGGCGAGATGAGTTACGAGGGCGGTGGGAAACGAAGGTACCGGGGTGGGTTGTTCGCAGCGGCGGGATCGGAGGCGATAGAGTGATGTAGGCGAGCGAAGAAGGCGGATGATTCGCAGTCGCAATATTGCAGATCAGTTGGGCCAACAAACGGGCAAGGGGATGGACGATTGGAGGTTGCGATGAGGAGATCTCCAGCAGAAGAGGAGGATAGGAGGATGACTGCTGCAGGAAAGGGTAAGCGGGAGTGGAGGGGGGGGGACTGGGAGGAAGAGAAACGGCGATGGACGAAAAGAGAAGCGGTCGTAGGTTTGGGAAGGGACCGAACTGGGGCGACGGGACGGGTGCGAGGATTCCAGGAAGGGACGTGAGGGACGTGTGAGCGTGGGCGCAGATGTCGGTACGTAAGGAAGGAGGTAATTACCTTGCCTTTTGGTGTATTTTGGTGCCTTCCATTTGGTACGGAGTACGGTACGTACGGTACCTTCCTCTGGGTGGAGGCGGCGTGGGCGGGTGTGGGCGTGGACGTCGCACTGAAGTGGGCGGGTGGGCGTGCCCTGCCCTGGGCGTGGGCGTGGGCGTCCATGGCACGGCGCGGACGTACTGTGGAAACGTGGGACGTGGGGAAGGAGCAAGAGTCGTTCTAAACTAGCTGCTTCGTTCCTTCCTTGTCGTTTCTTTCTTTCCTTCTCAACTGGCTACCCATGGCACCTTCCTCAGCTGTTCACTTCATCTTTTGCCAAGATTACATAAGGCAAGGTCTTGTCTACCTGGTCTGCTGGTATACAATTACATGACTAGGTACATATGAGTTAAGGTAGTAAGTAAAGGATGGCAACCTGGAAGACGTACGGATAGAAAGACGAAGATGGATGATGCTGCGTTGCGTCCCCTCCGTTCCTCGCAACCTGAGCGCGAGTGCCAGAGAGACCCAAACTGCGTCAACCAACAGCCAGAAGTAAGCGACTGTGCGGTGGACATGTGCAGATGCGCAGATGCGGGAGCTGGTGCAAATGCGCCGCAAGGATCTAGCAGAGAGGGAGAGAGGACACACTCGCACACACCAGAGAGAGTTCCGGAAGGTCAAACACGGACAGGACAGCCAGACGAGACGGGCCAAACACCTTCGTCTCTTCCTCAACCTAGCACATCTCTTCCAGCAAGCCAGCAGGGAGCCCACGTCTTCAACTCCCCCTTCTGCCATATAGAAGCCAGTAAGACGCATGTTCACAATACCACTGCTGGCGATTGGGGAACCTTTCAGCTTCAAGCTTCAAGCAGACTGGAAGACATCTAATCTCGTCAAGCATAGCCATGACAGTTCCAAGGGTCACCGCCACCACCTCCCTCTTCAGACACCAGGCACTTGGTATCCGCACACACAGCTTTTTTCCCATCGCTAGCACTGCGGCGTGCCAGCACTCGCACAATGACGCTCAGAGGGTGGGGTACTGGACACGAAGCTTGTACTCATCAGGTACCGATCTACTGCACACGGACCCATGGGGCAGTCGATTCAGGGGTGCACAGTATGTCACTGGCAGGGTGACGAGACAAAGCCGCAACCTGACCCCAAAGCTTAAACAGCCTGCGCTCAAGGGGGCGTAGTCGTGTGGCCGCGGCGGCCGCGACAGGCTAGAGGTGAGGCATCTGTTTCCGTACAATCATCGATACGATGATAGTTGCTATTAAGGCGAGGGCAGTCGAAGAGTCCAACGACAGAACGATCATCAAGCCATCAACTCCGGCTCTGTCATCAAAAGTCGGCGGGAAAACACTGGTACAAACAGCGGGAGCTTACTGTGCCTGGGCGTGTCCCAAGCTTCTTGTGTTCCCTCCGCCGGGCACACCCAAGCTGTTGTTTGTGTCGACATACATACGTAGTCATTACCATATCTCTGCGTAGGGCACCATACTTTACAGTTTCCCTAGGCGCACTGTAAAGACCTGGGTACCTCGTCAGCAGTGGAGGAGAGCCAAAGCTAAAGTAAAGGGGGAGGAGCCTGGATGTGCGACAGACAAACTGCAGCTTTCGCGACCTTCGCCTGCGGTGCCTTGTCTTGCCCTGAGCAGAGGAAACAAACAGTCAAAAGACAGAGACATACGGGATGCTCCGTCGTGACGCTTCTCTGCCAACACAACATTTGGTTGACAACGTGCTAAGTTATTTGATGATGTCAGCAAAGGGCAGACAATCAAGAGACACTGGGAGAGAGACCGACTAACCGCGACCACCACAACAACTTGAGCCATAACTACCAAACACCTCTTGGCCAAGAATAAGGGGAGCACTGCCTACTGAAATTGCTGCAGGCAACTATAAGCCGGCAGGCAACGTCAGTATTGGCTGCCGCGAAAGCGAGACATGAGGCTACCTAGCTAGGGCTGGCTCCAATAGCGATAGCAACATAGTACTACCTACCTGAATCTGCGCACTGCTCCGGTCACCGGTGTGACGTTGAGGCATTGGAATAGAGTGAGTAGCGTAGCGTAGCGCGAGCAACGGATGCACGCACCTTGCTTAGCCCCCTTGGGCACAAATCCAGGGCAGCCGCTCAATGGTCTTGGTTTCTTCCGAAGGGGGCGTCGCTAGATTGGCCAGAGGAGGATGGCGGCATGGCCAGAACAAAAAATCAAAATTTGACAGAAATCAAACGGCCAGCTGCCGGGCGGGCTTTGGGATTCCTTTGTTCTCTCAGGCTTCTGGCGTCGTTTCCATGCCGGCTTCTATCCTCGGCAGGTCTGGCTTCTCTCTCTTGCATTTGCTTTTTTGCCTCTGCCTCTGCCTCTGACTCTACTACACCCACTCCCCCCCTCGGGCTAACGGCAGTTGCATGTATCACCTTAGACTTCATGTCCACAGGTTCGTCTGCTTCCCATCGCACCCTCGTGCTCTGGAACTCGTTTCCCAGGCTTTCAATCTGATGCGATGCGAGGCGGTCAGAGAGACATTCTAGAAGCTCACACGGACACGGCAGCCCAACCACTCGGTTTGTCAAAGCATGTCGCATCCTTGCTCCATAAGCCTCGAGGTAAACTCAACAAACAAACGAGAAGCAGCATGTGCGCTAGTGTCGAGTCGAGAAGAGAGGCCAGTGATTCTTTTTCAAGCTTGTACGAAGAGTATGGCAAACTAAGCTTGGAATCGGAGATTGAGACAAGAATGACCGTAGGACGAGGACGGCAAAGGCTGCGAAGGCAACAGCGTGAACAGCGGGTGCGTGAAGATGGAGCGAGGCCGGGTAGAGTGCCATGGACGCGGACTTTTGTCGAAAGGCACAAAATAGAAAAGATGAAGGCGAGGCGCGTGCAGGCCGCAGCAGCGAGGAGCGAAAACGACCGAAAGGCATACGGCCGCCGTCCGTTTCGCCGCAGGTCCATCCTCCACTTCCAGCAATTGACCTGGGACTGCGAGAGTCTTGGACACAACTTGATCTCGTCGTTATCCCCAAGTCGGTTCAGCCTAGGACAGAAAGGCGAGTGTGGGTGGACCGCCATCTCACCGCGTGTCTCAAACTTGCAGCCCGGGACCCCCCTGGCTCATCGGACCCGAAATGGCGCGCACGGTGCACGCAACGGTCTTCGGAGGGGTAGCAGTCCACAACGGCTGGAGGAGAGGATGCACCAGGTCAACCATGTCGGCGATGGGTGAAGGCCAGGAAGCTTGGGGGGATGATGGTCAAGGCGTTTTCCAACGGAAGGGGATCGATGCGTGGAAGACTCATGGAAGACGGCTAGAAGCCTGCCAAAGGTTGGATTGGTGGAGGGCGATGAACGCGGGGATTTCGCGCCGCGCGCTCCAGACATGAGCTCTGGCCCCGGTATGTTTATCGTGTCTGCCCAGCGTATCTTAGCTGCGAGAGTTTGTCGAACGATCCAGCATCAAATCCAGGGCGCGTGAAGAGTGGAAGAGTGACTCGAGATGGATTCTTGGCCTGGCTGGTAATTGTCATGGAGGTTGACTCCAATCTGGGAGGTTGTTGGAAGGATGTTGAAGGTGCCTGAGATCTGGGGTGTGGCAGCAGGAGGTGCCTGACAGCGCTTTGGCTGGTCGCCTCACTATTTCACTTGATGGTGACTAAGCCGCTTTCCTGAGGAGGAAAGTAGTGGGAAGGTGCCTTCCTCGACAACATCCTCTGCGCCTCCTTCAACTGCTCTCAATGGAACTTGGGTATGGAAGGGGCCTCAGACTTCGAGGCAAGTCAAGGCAGGCTCGAGATACCTGTTCAACTTGGGGAAGGTACGGAGTATCTTCACATCTTGTCTCTTTCACGAAGTGGATCCTCCTTCCTTGCTTCCTTTGTTTTCTCACCCCGCCAGATCTGCACCTGCCTGCGGGAGATCCATGGAATTATCTACACATGGTGACATGCAACATTGAAGGGTCCATTTGCCCGTCTTCCCGTCATTGATTTCTTATCCTCGCCATTTTTCTTCTTCTTCTCCCAACGACGTCTCCGCGTCTTGCTCATTGCTCCCCACCTGCATACTAGAAAGAAGCATGTGGCATTCTTCTTCACGAATAAGATTTTCACTCCTCTCCAACTCCGTCAGCCAGGGCCATGGATGGTCCATGATGTGCACACATCCAACCTCGACTCCGTCGTCCCGTCTCCATCTCCGTCACATTGTTCTGCAATCTTGCCAGTGTTTCACTGCATCGTTGCTTCGGTGCCCGATGCAAGAAGACATTTCCCAAGCTTTCATTCGTTCCGACGTCCCCAACTTCTTTTTCGGCTCAACTTTCGGCGCACACCATCCACGCGGCGTCATGGGCCACGCAACAAAGAAGAGGACGAACTTAAACCCGCGAGTAATTCGCCTCGTGCTACTTTCCCATCCCAATCGTCGGCTCGCTTCCCGATATCCGGTCCCGCTGACCTACAGAGAGCCATTGCTTAGACTTCTGTATCCTGAAACGCCTTTTTTCCTATGCTTCGGGCCCATGGGACTAGGACTATCTGATTCAACATCATCGGCGACCATCCCCACGATGACAGGTATGACCTCAAGCTGCAGGTCAATGCGCGCATGAACATACGGTTAACTTTTCGTGTATACACGCTCCACCGCGACTGACATGACTGGCCACACTCGGTCACTAGCTAGGGTCCGCAGTCCGATGAGTCGCAGACCATTGCAGATGCTGCGCACGCGTGGCCCAGCCTTTGCAACCTTCAACGCCTTGACAAATCCGACATCTTGCATACCACGTGTTTCCACTTGTCAACGATTGCTCGATCACGTCGCACGGTGTTCAGGGCATGTTCCCCAGGCTTATTCTTTGTCCAAGTAGCCAGGGTCGCGCTGCTCTACACACATCGTATCGCTCTTGTTTCCTATAACGTGCCAAGCACTATTGATAGCTTGAGTCCTTATGGTTTAGGGGCTTCTAGGACCTTGATATTCACCTCGTGGGAGACCGACCACCAGCTTCAAGATTCGGGGCCATCTAGTGTCCAACGCTACACCAAGCCAAGTTGTCGACAGAGCAAGCTTCGACCAAGAGCCATCGGAGGGAGGAGGAAGAAAATGTGTCGGATCTTCACGTGCTTACTCCCACATGAAGATGGCCTTCAGCCATCCTCAGAACGATACGGTTACATGTCCCTTGCCTTCAAGATCCCACGATTCGTTCAATGGTCCCTGCTTCGTGGCCCGAGCCCACCCCAACCGACAAAAAGGCCTTTCCGGACACCTGTGATCGTCTTGAAACAATGCACGGCTCCGGTCCGCTTCTCGAACCAAGCCCAAGGCCTAGAGTTCGGATCCTTCCATGATCCTGGCCATTGGTTGACTGGCTTGAAGTGAAGAGCATTTGAGAATAATTCAGCTTCAGTCGCTGCACCCCACTTCGGCCATCACGATAGTAAGCTTCTGCAGGCCGAAAGAATTGGGACTGGGAACCTGGGTACACTACCTACCACTACTCAGGTGCTGACTGCCCGGGCAGCCAGGCTACACATGGGCTGGGTGGCTGATATTCCTATCAGACGTAGCAAAAGACTATGGACAAGGGCAAGCTCAAGGCGAAGGCTACGCTGTCAACATCGGGCGATCATAACTGACATGGATTTCCTGGAGGCCATTCTTCTTTGTCGGCACAGTAAGGTGGTCTGGGAAAATCGACTTAGAGCGACTGGTAAAGCCAAAGTGGTATTACTAATTAAGGCATGGTGTGACAATCTCGTTCTTTTTTGCTCTTACGGTAAACACATAACGTTGAATAGCCGCCGCATCCTGCCGGTTGGTACTGTTGGCCCAGCTTCATTTGGGGATTTTCGACCACTAGACCCTCTGGGCGGTCTCCCGGCGTACCGTCTCAATCACGGTATCATACGGCAGAGAGGCTCTGCTCCATTATGCGCCGCCTTGCATCCCATGGACAAGGGGGCCAGCCTTCAGTCTGCCCCTCTACATCAAAGACTTAGTTTCGAACCCAGTATCCACGGCACACGCGCAGGCCGCGGCGCTTGTAGGGACTACATTTCCGACGCCCGCACGGAATTTGGTGCTGTCGATGGTTGGAACAGTGCTGGGTTCGGCTACGAATAAGCTTGAGAGCTTATCCTCGTAGGCTTTTGTGTTATGCAGCTGTTGTTGCCGTCGAGGGTGGTCTCGATTCGGCCCGAGGTATCGTCCGTCTTTGTGCGGCGGAGATCTTCGCTGCATAGGCCGCCCGTAATCGAGTCGGGGGCCGAAAGCTTAGGTGAACGTCGAAGAAGCGACGAGGATGTCGTATCTTGTATCTCGTATTTCCCAGATCTTGTTCTCGAGCAGGGTGGCATTACGACGGACTCGTCCGGGCATGGAGTATTCCGGATCGGGGAGGGGTGGGTCACGATACGGGATCCACCCCGGTCTGCCGTCGGGACATAGCGGGTCCCCTTGCTTGCCGGGGACGGGGCGAGTGGAGTGCCACCATTCCGATGCTCGCCTCATCTGGGATTTCCGGTTGCTTTTCCTCTTACAATCCGCACAAGCCTTGTGTACAGTCAAGACCCTCCGAGGTATTGCAGCAAATCGACCCATTGGCGCAGAAGCACGCCCTCCCGAGGTTCGGATCCTCCTCTCCTTCCTTATCGCCAAAGATTTGTTTCCAAGCGGATGCGATGATGTTGGACGCCGGGGTTGTGTTGCCGTTGCTGCTAGATTCCGATGTGGCTGCTGAGGGTGCTACTGTGCCAGCCGCGACAGTGGGGGCTTTTGAGACAACTGAGGGGAACTTCAGGGGGTGTTGTTCAGTGTCGACTGGTGCGGCGCAAGCTGTTGAGGCGAGGATTGCGACGGAGAGGGCGGCGGAGAGTCTCATCTTGGCGGTGGGTGGGGATGAATGTAGAAGCTGAAAAGTTGCAAGAAGGAGATGAATGAGTTGAGTGAATGAATGACTTTGCTCCAAATCTCGAAATCTTCGCCAAGCTCTGTTAAACTTATTCCTCGTGAAAGATTGGATGACAGAATTAACAGTACTGCGGATTCTCGATCGTGAGTGTGTATACGAGTCGGGGAACCGTCGTACTTTATAAGCCAAAAGTGAGAATTTGGCGGGGACGAGAAAATAAGGCCGAGGCGAGTAGTCTTAGCGCAGAAGCGACCGTTTGTTGAATTTGAATCACGAGGCTGGTTAGGCGGGACAACTAGAGGTAATTGTCAAGTAAAGGACAAGCCACACCGAAGCGTGAAACTGAAACGGGACGCAAGTTTGGCGCGAGTTGGTTAGACAAAGGATAGTGGAAGAGAGAACAAAAGGCGTTTTGAGTGAACCGACGCAGGTGGCTTGGTTGGAAAGAGGCTAGGTACGGATGGGACGGGTATTTGTGAGAGGAATCGAAAGAGAGGGGGGAGGAAATAGAGACTATTAAGTAACGCGAAAGAAAAGTGACCCCCTGACTGTCAAGGACTCGTAGCATCACTTTCCAAGGATTTCTAGTAATGAAGCTTGAAAGTATTGGATTGTTGGTTGCTTTGCCCCAAGTTCCAACACTATTACCGCCCACCCGAATCGGGAAGTTGGCCGTTGACTATGCACGCTTGTTAGGTAGTACCCGGCGCGAAAGGACAATCAATGGAGATGGGGGGGGGGGGGGGGGGGGTTACAGGGTCATAGGATCGTAGTACTCCGTAATAGAGGAACAAAAGACAAGGATTCGGGAGTTTTCAGCACGTTCAGCTTCGTGTGCGCGTGTTGGAACCTCGGAGTTGGGGGCGGAGGGCGGTGGAGGATGGGGAGCACGGAGAGGAGAGGATGGGAGGGGCGGACGAGGGATGTTACAAACATCCGAAGCAGCAGTCTAGTTCGCGAGTCTTCGACACTCAGCATCGCGCATCGTCATACGAGATCAAGGAGAGTGGAAGGCACTTTTTACTGTGTAAAAAATGGAAGAGAGAGAGAGGGAGAGACGAGACGACACCTGGTACGAGCGTGCGGTGCTACCACGGGTAGGTAGGTAGACAAGCCCCCCCTTCATCGTTTGTTTGACGCTGGAACACCCGTGCGCGGAAGGTTGGCGGGAAGATGGGGAGACACGCAGGAGAGAAGTGGATGTTGGGACTGTCCGGACGGATTCATTAAGCAAACGGAATCTATACTAAGACTTGGAATGGTGCCAGTAAGGACCAGTAGCTTAAGGGGCGAGAAGGGGGGGCAGCGCGCTAATGCTTGCGATCGCGACCCCCAAAATTCATGCATGATTTTACACGTATTTTCTTTGCTGCTCCTTTGATGCGCGATGTACGGAGTAGGTATGCACCTAGCCGCCCGTGTTGGTTTGGTGATTCTGTTGTGGGCGGATCCATGGGAAAGGAGGACTGTAAAATGATCCTTTACAGTGAGGTGTTTGGGAGTTGATGCGGTGAAATGATGTTGGTGTTTCGTCGGCGTGATTAGTCAAATAGACATGGTGTTGTATTGAAGGGAAGTCAATTGCTGGATTCAGGCCCATCATCCATGACCCTGAGTGAGAACAGCTTAATCAACGGGCCAAAGCATTGCGCCATTCGGCACAATCCTGCGAGACATCGTGACTCGTCCGAAGTACCTGGGTGAAGTAAGACAGAGGCGTGCAGACTTCCCGAAATGAGTACGAACACGCAATGAGGTCGCGAAAGAGACACAGTAGGCTTCGGATGAAGGGTTGGCGGCGCGAATGGAGGTGATTGCGCCAAGTAGGTTTTACGTCCTAGTGAGGGGGATTTGACGGCAACTGCGGCATGTGGCTGGCCCTGGCTGGATTGTCTGGGCTTGGGATTTCTGCCGGATAACCGTTGGAGGTGTCAATCATCAAAGCCAGTCCTTATCGAAGTTTTACTGTGGTACGAACAGTGAGTTTGGCTAATTCGAATGATGGGTGGCTTGGGGCGGTCTGTGTTCTCTAGTACCTAATTAAGCCGGCATCCTAAGATCCTTAGACGGGAGAGACATGCGCCCATGTAACGGTGGTGATTCAGGTGGTGTTGAGAGATTGGCCAAGCACGGCGGGGTAAAGGGAGGCTACTGCACGGTAGATGGAGGCTATTTTGCTAGCTGTCCTGGGGCTTTCGAGTCTCAAGACGGTAAGAAACTTACGTCTGAGTACAGATGCTGGGATGTTGACGAGGAAGGGGCATGAGAGAGGATGAGTGTTTCTCAATGCTTTCGTGATGAGAGGATGAGAACTCAGTCATCTCTTAAGCACCATCGCGCTATAGCTGCTTGCTTTGCTGGCGAGCAACTCGAGAGATTCGGGAATACGGAGGTTTATTGACAGTCCTGACTTTGTGTGACAGCGGATGCACACCCTCCTGTCTGAATCCAGAGTTGCTAATTCTGGATGCCTCCAAGGAGGCATGCGACCAACGGCAGCGGACCAGGCCGGCAGACGAGAGCTTCAGCTGCATTGATGATCGGAGGAGAAGCCGAGGGAATAGGGAGTGCTACCGCCGCCAGCGGGAGGGAAGCTTACTGCCATCTGGAGCCAGCTGGTCGCCAAACTCCAATGTCCGCCCGGATGGATCGGGGTTAAGGCGGACGGCAGCGCAGAGAAGGTACGGGAATTTCCACCAGCTTCTCCCCAGCCACTCACATGACCCTAAAAAAAGTTAGCTAAGCAGCTGCCTCAGCCAAACCCATGCGGAAGGAAAGCACCTCAGGCAAATTCCGGCCCCGAGAGTCCGCCAGAATCGGGAACGTCATTCGTCATTGCCTCCCGCGAACTCCTCTACGCAGGCCTTTAAACCTCGTCAACGACCACATCCCTTTTGCTTCTCCCTTCCAATCCCAAATACACCCCAATACACATTCGCACACGAATCGACACGACAAACGATGTCATTCAGCATTCCACTCCGCCAAGGGCCCGCGCGCCTGGCGCAGCGTCTCCCGCAACTAGCCCAACCCTTCCGCACGACAGCAACCAGAGCCTTCCACCAGGCCTCGTCGAAGTCAAGACCGACCGCCTCCGTCGCGACCGCAGCCCGTAATGCCCTCCTCCGCGGCTCCTCGAGAACCTACATGCAGCAAGCCGCACCCGGTGTCCAGGGCCAGGCGAGCCCTCTCCGCAAGCTGTTGGTCGGCGGCGCCATCTTTGGCGGTACCCTCGTCGCCATCAACGTCGTCTTCAACCGTGAGACCCGTGATGATGGCGGCATGCCCGTCTACGAGCGCGAGTACCTCAACGATACCTTCCTCCACACCGGTCTGGGCGTGGGTATTATTGCCCTCAGCGCGCGCCAGATGATTCAGTCTGGATTTGTCTACAGGTTGATGGTGACGAACCCCTGGGTCGTGGGTATCGGTGGTCTGGCTCTCAGCTTCGGTACCATGTATGGTACCCGTGCCATCTCTCCTGATAAGTAAGTTCGAACACTCTACCCGAGAAGTTCAAGAAGCAAAAACTAACAAATCAACTAGCTACATCCCCAAGTACGCCATGTGGGCCGCCTTCAACGCAACCCAGGCCGCTATGATCGCTCCCCTCCTTACAATGGTCCCCGGCGCCCTCCTCGCCCGCGCAGGTCTCTACACCGTCGCCATGATGGGTTCCCTTTCCATCGTCGGTGCCACCGCCAAGCAGGACAAGTACCTCTACATCGGCGGACCCCTCCTCGCCGGCCTCGGCGTCGTTGTCGCCTCCAGCTTCGCGCCCATGCTGCTCCCCGTCACCGCCGTCCGCACCCTCGCCCTGACCGAGAGCATCTCCCTGTACGGAGGTCTCGCCGTCTTTGGCGGCTTCACCCTCTACGACGTCCAGAAGATCCTGCACCACGCTCGTCTTGCTGAGCGCGGTGTCATTCGCAAGGATGCTGTCAACGAGAGCATTGCGCTTGAGCTTGACTTTATCAACATCTTTGTCCGCATGGTGCAGATTCTGACGATGCAGCAGAACCGCAGGAAGTAGGCTAGTCGAGGGGGAGTATGGCATTCGTGGAGGATAGGATAATGGGATCCCGCCGGTGGGACGGTGTATATACACCCCACGGCGGGCAGAAAACAGAGGCTCGAGAACCCCTCTCATGATACGACTCCAAAGACGCCCACGGGCTCGGAGTTGGTTTTTTTGTTGTACAATACCTGAATAAATAAAATTCATAAATTCGGTCAACTCCATGTGCCATCATACGGCTGTGCTCTGACAAGCTGATTTATTCACACACTTGAATAGGGAAGCACTTCGCCACATCACCACATCACCACTTTGATTGAATTAGACGTTGCAACTGCTACTTGCCTCCTCCAAGCCTGATCGTGAAGCCAGATATCACAAGATCACAATCGTTGTGGCACACGGTTTTAAAAATCAAAGCGGTTGAGCGCTATTCGTTGCCTCGGAGCAGGTCTCTACATGCGTGATAGAAGAACCCCATACCACCCCGACACGTCCCATCCATCATTGTAATGTCCCCAAGATGAAAAGGAAACCTTCCATATCGTTACATCCTACTCCCTCTCTTCACCCCCTTATCCCCTCCATCCCGACTCCCCTTCTTCCTATTTCCCATCCTCACCATCAGAGAGTCATCCCTCAAGCGGAGGAAACGTCCTCAGAAAGTGACTAGGACATTCATACCCACTCGGGTTCTTATCCAAATACGCCTGATGATACGCCTCCGCATCCCACCACACCCCCGCCGGCGCAACCTGCGTCTTAATCCCCCCCTTATACCACTGCTCATTCGCCAACCTAGTCACCTCCTTCGCAACCTTCTCCTGCTCCTCATCATGATAAAAGATCGCACTCCTGTATTGCGGTCCCGTATCCGGGCCCTGGCGATTCATCGTCGTCGGATCGTGCATCCTGTAAAAGAACTCGAGGAGCTGGCGGTAGCTCACTTCCTCTGGGCGGAAGACGACCTGCAGGGCCTCGGCGTGGCCCGTGTCGCCGCCGCAGACGGCGCGGTAGGTCGGGTTGGTGAGGTCGCCGCCGATGTAGCCGACGCGGGCGTCGAGTAGGCCCTTGTTGGCAAAGGTTTTGCGGTAGAGGTGTTCTACGCCCCAGAAGCAGCCTGCTGCGATGGTGGCTTTTTGGGCGCCTTCGGGGAGAGGGGTTGGGGCGGGGGGTGTGAGGGACATTGTTGTTGTGGTTGTGAAGGGGCGGGTTAGGCGGGTGAGGAGGGACGAGATCATTGTTTGGGGGTGGTGTTGTGGGAGGGAGGTTGCGATGGTGAAGAGGAGGATGAGAAATAGGCCGAGGGCGGCGAGGGTGAGGAGGGGCAGCTGCTGGAGCTTTTGGTGGGGTTTGCGTTTGGGGGTAATCGTGATTTTTGGGCGGTATTGCGAGGGGTGGTGGTTTTCTTGGTGCACTGGGCTGGTTGTAATGGGAAGGTGATTAGATGGGATGTTTCGGAGGTCTGTTATGCAATCTGATCAGTGATGATTCCAAAGATTTGATTACTCTACAACGTGAGGTTTGAATGGAATAGGAATTGAGATTTGGATTCAATTCTAAAAGTGAATATAAAGCAAGGTACACTGCCACCTGCGTCAGCCAGATTCCAAACCGTCGGATCCCGTCGTCGCCACGCCTGCGCTGGAGCTCTCCCGGGGTCTCTAGCACTGCTCACCTAGGAAAAGAAAAAGAAAAAAAGTGTCAGAGTCACCACTTGGCCAGGGACCTGAGCTGGTGGCTCGGGGCGTAAAACGTGGAGTGCATGACAAATCGGGGACGGCCGGCTCGGAGATACTTTTCCAATGACATGGACCCGCTTTTCACAGTGCCGGGTCACGGGTCTTTGGGTCCAATGTAGAGGGTATTAGGTAAGCTTCCAAATCCGAGGAGCATCGGTGTCCGGGGGAGCTGCCGCCTGCAGCCCTGCAGATGGGAGCTGTGTGTGCCCCGCCTACGTACAGGTCCACCGTCAAGACAGTACCAATTGCTCAAGGTTTAGACTGTGACACTGCCGTTTCCGCCTTTCCACGTGTGTTAGTGCTTGGCTTGGGAATCCTTCTCACGCCGGACGTAGGGATCGTTACAGATTTCCGGCTTCGTTGGAGACTTTGGATTAAGTGTGAGGAGCTTTCTCGGCCTTGATGACCCCGCGTTGTGAGCTGTTTGCTGCGGGGTCTTGCTCGTTCGACGTTGGGGTCAATGGCTTTCGGTCTTGTTCTTAAGGGAGGGGGAAGACACTTTTATTGAGCTTGAATTGTATCGTTTTGTGTGTTCATTCGGCCATTATCTCATCTAATCTGAATCTTCAACTTATTCAAGCAGCCACCTATACTTGAAGTAGACATGAGCGGACTCGCGGGAGCAACCAGAGCTGCGGCTCAAGCCAGGTCCGTCATCCTCTCTCTCACACAATGATACCTTACATCCCCGGATACACTCATCCGTGTACTTGATTCGCCAATTCGTTGACCACAATATCCGATGCCTTTTGAAATAAGTCTCATCGCCGTCTCACTAACACGTTTCACAGCCGCGTCGCCATCGTGACGGGCTCCTCACGGGGCATAGGCCGCGCCATTGCCCTCCGCATCGCCCGCGACGGCTACGACGTCTGCATAAACGACATCGCCACCAACGAGGCCGGCTCCCACGAAGTCGCAAAGCAGATCCGCGACCTCGGTCGTCGCTCCGTCGTCGCTACCGCCGACGTGAGGAAGCTGGGTGAGGTGCAGGCCATGATTGACAAGACTGTTGGCGAGCTAGGGCCGTTGAATACCATGTAAGCCTTTTTTTCGTTCGCTCCGTCTCGTTCTCGGGGGAATCTCCGATGAGATGAGAGAGGTGTCAGGTTTATTGAACTGCGGAGCCAATGGATGCTAACATGAGAAAGGATCGCGAATGCTGGTATCGCCCAGGTGAAGCCGCTTCTCGACATCACAGAGGAGGAATTCGAAAACATGTTCCGCGTCAACGTCTTTGGCGTGCAGAACTGCTACCAGGCTGCCGCGAAACAACTCATCAAGCAGGGCAACTGCAAACCCGAAACTCCCGGCAAGATCATCGGCGTGAGCCCCCTATCCCTCCACCTCAGAAATCACAGCACATTCAACTGACATTTCCACCCCAGTGCTCCTCCATAGTAGGCTTCAAACCCTTCGCCCTTCTCTCACACTACTCCGCCTCCAAATGGGCCGTCCGCGGCCTCACGCAGGCCTCGGCCATGGAATACGCCGAGCACAACATCACCGTCAACGCCTACGCTCCGGGTATCGTCGGCACAGCCATGTGGGATTTGATTGACGAGAAGCTAGGCGAGAAGACGGGCGCGAAGAAGGGGGACACGATTAAGAAGTGCACGAATGAGTTGATTGCGCAGAAGAGGACGAGCGTGCCGGAGGATGTGGCCAAGTTGGTGAGCTTTTTGGCGGGGCCGGATAGTGATCATGTTACGGGGCAGACGCAGATTGTGGATGGGGGGATTATTTACACTTGATGGGGAGGTAGTGAGTGCCCGTGCCTTGGAATGTATGTCATTGTTTGGATATCGCATGATGAGTGAAAGGGATTGGTATCTCGGTGTTCGGGTTGATCAGGCCATCGTGAGCTGTGCCACAAGTGTCGGGTGAAAGGGGGCCGATTGAGGGAGCTATCCTGACTTAAAGACTGCGCACTGTGAGGATGTCCCGCTTTAAACACGAGCTCTCATCGATGTTCGGGATGACTAGTCGCCAATCCTTTGGACGAACTAAGGTACCTTCTCATAATCATCATTAAGCGTGGAATGATTGAGGAGTCTTCGTTGTGTATCTCGATACTTTTCAGCTTGGCATGCTGGCACCTTATCCTCTTTGGAGCTTAAATGATAAACAAAGCTTGAACACTGTTGTTGTCCCTCGAAGCCTAGGACAATTGTTGAAAGGATCCTCGTTGGTTCAAATCGTAAATACCCAGGCATCACCTCCATAATCTGGTGACAACCCTACTCACAGAAATCTAGAAACAATAGTCTCAGGTGTGTCAGATGGTAAGAATAACTCTCTTGTCGTTTGGATACCCACCCCACACGCAGATTGCCGTTCCTTCAGCGCCGACAAGGCCATTCCACTGAAACTTGTTGATACTGCCTCTCACGACTGTTCATCCAAGTTAGCCAACACATCCTCTTACCGGCATAGGGAGTTCAAACTCACGATCTCCAATATCCTCTTCACCAGTGCACCCAGTATCATCGGAGTTGGCCCCAAAGATACACGTCCCATACCACATCCACGAATTATAGCAATTCGAGCCCTGCGGCGGTCCCGAGCCGGGAAGCCAGCACGGCCCAGAGACAAAGTACCCAACGTGGCGGTACCCGTGTCGCGGATGACAGCACAGTCCGAGACCTTGGGGGACCCGCCGGGGGACTCGTTGTTGAAAGTCGAGGCGTCGCAGTAGTTGGGGGCGCGTTTGTTGCGCTCTAGGGCACGTTTGGCGCGGTGGGCGGAGTTGGGGCAGGCGATTTCGGCCTCGAGGGCTTTGACGTCGTTGCCTAGGTCGAGGACTTCGTGGGTTTCGAGGAGGGATCAGATGATAACGATTGGGGAAGAGTAATTCGGGGACGGGGGAGGTAGTTGGGGCTGCGAGAGCGGTTCGGGTTGCTGCTGCGGCGAGGGCGAGGGTTGAGATGCGCATTGTGGGAGGGGGCTTTGTGAGATAGATGAGAGGATGAGTAGTGTGCTTGAGTGGTGGATTGAGGTACTTGATGAGGCTTTTAAATTTGAACTCGGTCGTCTTGACGGGACTACAAGTGATCACAAATGGAAATATCACAAACATGAGGGCTTTTCTCATGGAGGGAACGTTGGCGAGAAGCAAGTGCCTCTCGGCCGGCTGGCTGTGCGGCGCGGGCTGACGCAGCCACGAGCGAGATTGTCGCTCAATGTCAAGGTCTGAGACTCCAAGAGTGACCTGATGCTATTCAGAACGTTCGGTCTGCCGGGCGGACGGCGTTCTGGCATCTGCAGCGGGCTTACTCGGTGGCTTGCGGTCACATCAACCCTGTTGCTGACTGAGTGTAGGCGAAAGAGACTTTGGTGAGAGTTGGCCACGCCGTACGCATGCGAGACTGAGGGTAAGGCGAGTTGAACAGGGGTCTCAAGCCTCACTGCATGAGGTATCTCGGCTTCAATAGGAAGGCGCACTAGGGACTTTGGTTTAGTTGTGAGCTCGGAACATCATATGACCTTGCCTACCTTAGTATGTAGGTTCGCAGGAAGAATTACTTGCTGAATGGGTACTGCGACCCTGCTCATGGCCAAGAGAAAGTACCAGACTTCAGGTCATGCTCGTGGAGAGCGGATGGCCGGGCCGTCGACATGTCAGGGTGGTATGACGATTCCAGTCACTTACATGAAAGACAGGAGTTTCATTGGGGTGCCTTGCCCTTTCGCAAGATACTCGGATGTAACTTCACCTTTCCACTGGTCGATCAGCCGACGAGTCCGTCATATACCGGGCTCTTCGACAACAGGGTGTTTGTTATGCGTGGCTGAAGAAACGTGCGAGGCTGAAGGAAGGTGGAAGTCAATCGCAATTACCAAGCCAACCACTTGGCAGAGTTCAAGGCGTTTTCTCGGGAACGACTGATTCCGCAAACGAGAGACTCGGCTAACTCTAGTCATGTAGATTAAAGGACTCATATCACCATTTGCATGTCACAGAAAGAACTTATTTGGGGGTAAAAAAGACTTGATTTCAATTTCTGTATGGGGTAGTAGTCATAGTATAGGTCGAGTCATTTTATGACTGACAGTGATACGCCTAGTCATTTTATGACAGGTCGTCAATAAGTCTAGACATCTTGTGTCTGACATCAATCTGAGGCTATGCGATCAATTGCTCCCGTACTCCAAAATAATCAAACCATGCAAGCGCCGATAGCTCTCAGAAGTAGTAGTGGTAGTGACACCCAATCAATGAAATGAAACCCAAAACCTCCCCGACCCAATCCTGATGTGCAGACACGAGCTGCTACCCATCAGTGCTCGTCCGCCAGTCCATCCAAGTCCGCGTACTGAGGCTGTCCAGCGTAGTAGTTCCTGTGAGCGGCAGCCATATGTGCGTAGCAGTCGGCATCGTTGTCGAATACCTCCATGCAATACCAGCAGACGTGTGCGCCGCAAGTGCATGCCACGTGATTGCAACCCACATATCGGTCGATGGGAATCTTGCACCTGGGGCATGGCTTGATACCGAGAGACTTGAGGACTTCTCCGTTGGCGTGATCCTCAGCCTTGTCGCACGTGACGTTATGGTTGTGTTGAACGTGACACGATGTGCAGAGGATCTCAAAGCAGCCCATGCACCGCTGGATGGTGCCCTTGTTGTCGGCTGCCGCGGGAGTGACCTCATAGATGCGTTCGCAATGGGGCGTAGGACAACAGTGATACGTTGCGGAGTTGGCTTGCAAGTAAGAGCTCAGAGTGTTGTCGATGAGCTGGTCAACGCCGAGAGTCCCTAGGTTGGAGACGAGCTCGCGGATGCTCAAAGGTTTGCCGCATTGTCCGTTGTCGCCAAAGCACTTTATTCCGTTCTGGCTGGCGTCCTTTGCGTTGGAATTGACTGTGTGCTCGTAACAGGTGGTGCAGTACACGTGTCCGCAGCTGGTCTGAATCGGATGCTCTGGAGGGCAGAAGCAGATGGCACACTCTTGATCGCTGCAGCCTCTGCGCCAGGGGTCCGCGAAGTTGAGAGGTTTGCGGTTATCTCCGTATGGTTCCATGAAATGGTCAAGGATCTCATCCATGTCCTTTCTGCTAGAGAGGATGGAGTTCTTGTCGACGGATTCGAACCGGAGGCATGCCTTCTCTTTGTTGGCTGTATAGATGGCCTGTCCGCGGGAAAGAATCTCTCCATCTTCCAGTGCCTTGGCCCACTGAGCTGGGATGACGTAGTCTAGGGAGAGGGTGACGATCGCGTAGAGCTGCTTGATACCAGCAGCCTTCTGGATCGTGTTGTTAAGCTTTTCGACTGCCCGTCTTGCGTCGGATTCGTTGAGGAACTGAAAATGGACTTCATTGAGCGCGTCGTTGTCTTTGATTTCGCCGTTCCACGCGATGGGGCCATAAGAGGAGACCAGGTTGTTGATGGCTTGGAGCTGGGCTGCGGGCTCGAGCTTGGCGTTGGGAGTGATAGAGATGTGACTGGGATGGAGTAACGCTGGGAGACCACGAGTGATGTCCAACGTGGTGACCTTGAGTGGAAGCTTGCTGAGCTGGACGTATGGGCCCCGTTGTCCAGGCAAGACTTGTGCTGTAACGTATTTGCCACAAGCTCCAGCTTTCCCGTCGTTGAAGTGGCGCACGATCTCTTGACACTTCGTAGCATCACGGAAGCTGAGAGAGGCCGATGAAGTTGCGGTATACCAAAAGAGCTTAACCATGTTTGCACTCGTGAACGAGACATACTGGCTTTCGTTGTAGCTTTTTTCAAGATAGGCGTTCCAGTCAGCGGGCTTGGTGGGAGGAATGACAACGCTGTTGATATCCAGGCCAGGACCAAAGGTCACATCGACGCCAGACATCTTCTTGACAATCTGCTGTGCAGCCATTGTAGTGTTTGTAGCAGACTGAATGGAGGTAGACATTGTAGAAGAATGAATAAAAGAAGATGTAGTAGGAAGAGACAAGTACACTGATAAACAGTAGTAACTTGATCCGAAAGTGATGAGACTAAAATGCTTGGGGTTCAGGATCTTGTAGGCGTATAGTCAGAGTGGATGAAAAGTGGTGTGTAGACTGTACGCAGACTGGGGAGGCCAACTGCTTCCAAAAGGGGGGCGGGGGAGGACGAGATTATATATCTTTTTCCCGTTCAGCCAGGTACAGCGGAAAAGCAAAAGGGTTTGGGACACGGCAGAGACTTCGCCTCCCCGGTACTCCAAGAACCGCTCATGATCAAGGGCTACGATGCGTACCTTACACCGGGGAGTGACATGTTGCCGTGGTGATGTGGGGCAGCTCAAGGTGAAGTTCACCATCAAGGTGAACCCGACCTTACGGAGATAGCCTCGTCCCAAACTGCTAGAAAGTATGTCAAAGCCGGATTCAAATGGATGGGGACTGGACTTGATCACCACTACCTTACGTATCCCGTCGAGTGCGAGATAAGGGTAATATCTCAAGACGTACTTTTTCTTAAGGGCAATAACAAGTCACGGACTTTTCCTCAATATGCCGCGCTAACCTCTTGCCATATCCGGTCAATATAGATACGTTCTCAAACAATTTGAATATTGGAGACAATTAGAGAAGTACATGTTGACGTTTTCCCGCACTCGATGGGATATCATTACTTCAGTCGTTCGTATGACTCGCCCAACCGGTATGCCAACGAAGGGACGGGTACTTGAATTCATAAATGGACCTGCATGGATTGTATTATCTTATAGTTCAAACATAAGGTAATGGTACATGTACTTTTAATGGCTCAGACCTTGGAACCCCCCGGCTCTGAGAGCCGAAATATCGTTTGTTCCTCACCCGAGCAAAAACTTGGAGGCAGAAAGCTTCCAGAAAACAGAAGAATCATTGCTTAGAACTTCTAGAAAGTGAGTCACGAGAAGCTCCACAAAAGTGTTAGCCATCCCAGTGTTAAAGTTGAAGTTTGTGGTTCTGGTTTTCAGGAACAACGATGGATCTCATACATAGTTGCGGACAACCTGGCGCATGCCGCTAGCCGCCCGCGGGACCTTGCAGACTGGAACCATGTTGTCGGAATAGGTTATCTTACACAAACCCGGTCTTCCTGTGGGGTAAGTATGGGCCGCTTGACCTTGGGAGCTTGCTGACTGATGTTCGGCGTCAGGCTTGTCGTGGAGACTGAGAGGTTGTCCATAACCTCCTATATGGCTGGCTGTACGTATGACATCGAATAAGCCTTGGAACCATCGGGTAGAGGAAAACTGTGATTATGACACATGATGACATGCTTTGGTGTCCCACTGGCTGGAGAAACTTTAGATTTCTCCGTTACCACCGATGTTCAGGAGGAAACCGGGAGAAACATGTCCCGCCACGTTCCCCGGTTGGGGCTATTGTTGGAGTTGGTAAACCTCGATGGTTTGTCACGACAAAGAATCGTCTACAGGAACAGAACCATTCAGAATGCCCAGGCAATCATCTTGGATAGCATGTCGTAGTCCTCATGCCCCACATGGAACGAATGGCGCCAAGGATAATGTGGAATTGAACAGGAGCAGAAATAGAACACAGAGAAGCATTGCCCGAAACCTGGAAGTGTACGTTTTTGTCTCTGCTCGGATGTAACATGGAAGACAGTATGCCAAAGGAGATGCAGGCATGAATGTGGATTCCTTGCGGGGTGGGAAGGCAGGACGCGCGAGACTCGCTCCTAGCGCCGGTCTCACCACGGGTACGGAGGGCTCGCTGGTGGACACCAACGGGCTCTCGGGTCTTGGGCCAAAATCCTACCCACCAAATTCGACAATGAACTAGCGACTGTTCAGATCGAAGCTGCTGAGGCGATTGCCGAGCTTGACAGGCCCAAATTGGTGTTGCGTGGGATGACCAACCTCAACCGCCCGGGCTTAGATGTGCCCAATACCTTTGTTGACCGCAGTCATTCTAACCTTGTGGTAAATAAGGCGTAATTGCTGGCCGGCAATTACGAATTCGTCTTTGTACGACAAACCTCCTGTGCCCATTCGTAATAGGAGATGAAGAGGATGTCGGAAAAGACTTACTCCTGGAGCAAGATCCTTTACAATCAGTTGGACTTGGCTCCATGGACTGGGAGATGCTGACAAGCGGGGTTTTTCCGGTCACGAATCCTCTGGAAGAGAGGGCACGAGAGCAATTAGAAAGAGAAAAATGGGCCGCGTGAGAAATTCGGCCATAAGATACCATCCAACCAGAGCCTTCAGCTCAACGGTAACCAGGATAAAGACAAGAGCAAGGCGGGTAAGGCAGAGAAGGGCACAGATCATAGGGAAGCTTGTCAAAGCAGCAATATGTATAGGCTGATGAGGCCGAGCTACTATATACAGAGAAGTTGTCCTGTCACACAGACTAGTGTCTAGTGAGTCGGAATAAAGAAGCAAATACACGCTCAATGGGATATTGTCCCTGAAACTCCACGCTCAAATATGAAAGGACGGGAAAGCATCAACAACCCGCTTAGCAAGCAGACAAAGAAGTCTGGCCCTTGCAGTTGGCGGTGGTGCTGACCTTGGAGCTCTCGCCGCTGCCCTTGGAGACGCCCTTGTACTCCTGGCAGACCTTGGAGACGCTGGAGCCGCAAGTGCTGGAGATGGTGGCGACGTCGCCGTAGTTGGAGTTGATGCCGACAAGCTCCTTGACGCCCTTGGCCTTGACGTTCTTGACGATGACGTTGCGGGGCCCTCCGTTGTTGGTGCAGTCACCGCAGCCGCGGTAGAGCTTGCCGGCGGTGACGACGGTGAAGCCGTCGATGGTGACGGTGCCGCGACCGTTGTGCTGGACGACCTTGTCTGCGGCGTTCTGGGCGCCACCGCCCTGGATAAGGACGTCACCGGTACCGAGAGCGGAGATGGCATCTGTAAAAGGCGGTTAGTAGGCAAGTCTTGGAGAGTTCAGGAGAGAAGATAGGGGTGAACATACCCTCGCAGACGTCACGGAACCAGACGTTTTTCAGAGTGCAGGCACCCTTGCAGTGAACACCCTCGAGCTGGTTGGCGCCAATGATGACGTTGCTCAGGGTGGCGCCGTTCTCGAGGATGAAGACGGCGGAGTCACTGCCAGTGTCGGCGTCGGTGTCACAGGCACGACCACGGTCGAACTCCTTGTTGGCGAAGTCCTTGGAGCCCGAGATCGTGGAGGGAGCGGAGAGGGATACAATGGAACCGCTGCGAGTGGGAATGTTGAGGGTCTGGGCGGTGGCCATGCCAGCCACGAGGGCGGAGACGAAAACCTTGGTCTGCATTTTGAGAGATGAGGTTGGTTTTGCTGAGAGAAGCTGGGCTTGAGAGACTGAGAGGCTATTGGATGATGTCCTGAGTGTGCATGGTGAAGAGAGAAGGGCAAGAAGAACTGTGAGGATCTTCCGAGAGTATTTATGTTGTTCAGAGTCGTCTCCTTAACATCATGATAGCTTAAACCAGGAGGCATTCCAAGATTCCATCGCGGAAAAGGAGTTTCACATTGATCGTAAAAGTCCAGACTGTACAGCACCAACTCACTAGCAACCGTCCGATATCTCCACCTACAATCATGAGAGCCAAGTGCCCAAGAATCTCCTTGGTGGAAATATCAGACGTTGGCACCGGTATACCACAAAAGCAATCAACTCTGGTACGCCGTCAATGGATCCTCGCCCGAGTACGTGGGTGGCGGCCGCGCTGCTCGCCCAAGCATCCATGCTTCTCATGTACCGATGCCCATAACCCACCAATTGGCACGTCGTGGCATGGAAGCCGTCAACCTAGTCCCGGTAGTCAAAGGCCCTAGATAGTCTATTGTATGTGCCATGTGGAGGCGCTACGGCCGTGCCTAACTCCATCTGTTCTCTCTTCGACATCTTGGGACATTCTGAGCCTCGGGGCCTGTTGGGGGCGATAGTGGTCTGTAGTGGCCGTCCTCGTGGCTTGCGGACGCCGAGGTCAAACAGCTTGGTGAAGCCAATGTGAGCACATCTCGTACGTCCTTGCTGGCCTGGTAGGACTTGGCAGATAATCTACTCAATACGGGTAGGTAAGGGGGATGTCTTCAAGCACAGCCCCCTTTTGCGTGTGAGTCTCATCGGGGGTGGGGAATGGAAGAGCTGCTTCCTGGCTAGGACACGTAGGCGATGGTCGTCTCTTCTCTGGGAAGTCGGTGGTTGAGAATGTGGGTGCAAAGAGACGGCGCCCGGGGGCTTGATTCTCCAACTCGGGCATCTAGGCCCTTCCGATGGATGCTCCGAGCCCCACGCTTGAACCACTGCCAACGTATGGGTACCATGAGGGTCAGGAACGGGGTGCATTTCTGTGCTAGTCGCCTTCGAGTACGATTTTAGAGACGGATTCGAGATGGAAGAGCATCACGCAACGCGGCGCATTGCTCAAAGGGAGGGGCCGAAATGGTGGTGTAAGCCGGCAGCGTTCCCCATGAGGAAACGCTTCCCAAGGTGTGGAAGACACTATCAGAAGCAGCAGGTGGACGAGCAGAATCCTGGCGGTTATCTGAGGTTATCTGATATTATCGCGGTTGGAATGACATTCGGATCAAAGAGGCGAGCAGAATATCCCCAACCTGCAGCTGGAAATTTAAGCCTAAACAGTAGCTTACTTGCGCACATGCAGGGCCACTGGCGTTTAGGGAAAAAAAGAACGCGCATCACTTCGACTACCGTGACTAATCCCGCAGACATGGAGCCGGGGTCAGTATTACTGGTGAACCGTGACACTGACAACTGGGGCGGGCATTTGTCTCGGTAGATCATAGAACGTGCTCCGGTACTGCAGTATGAATCCGGGGCTTTTCTCCGTCAAGTGTCACAAGATTGAACAGAGGTGCGCCCAGAACTTCAGAAGAGGGGCATTTGCGGTGGAAAAATAATAATGGAAATTGGACGGACGACGCCAAGAGCTTCGAGTCAAGCAAAGCGCGTCGACACTAAGGCCATTTGAGGCTCTTGGCACTGCAACCCCTTGCCAAGTCTCGCCGCACCGTTGAGAGTCTTTGAGAGCAGATTGGCTAGAAACAACAGTGAACATATCCCGTGTCTTGGCATCGCGCCAAGCCCCCTTCTGGATGCGATGGATGCTGTGGAACCTGCAACTCATTGATGGAAATCTCCTTTTTCCATTGATCGGCAGCCTTCAAACCAGACGTATTTCGTCCGGTCGTGTTGGTCTAAAGGGAAGTAAGAAGGTGAGAGGAGAGACAACTCGGGCGCCCGTTCTTACGTGATAAGCAAGATCGGGAATGCAACGATACTACGATATTTCTATCGTCTACACGACACACGTGCACTACTAGAACCCTTTGGTGTGTTTAAATAAGCCATATAATGATTGCAATATGTGCGCCCAGGTTCCTTGGCTGGGCATCCCTAAGTAAGTGATGGGATACCTTGACCTCGCCGTGGCGTGGACCGACGACTGGAGAACAAATCTCTCAATTGCTCTAGCTCGAAGAACCCCTCCAACTTAGTCCTTGACTTTTGCAATACGAGTTCATCTACAAGAGTCAAGACAGGACCTTGCGGGATGTGGGATCCGGCTTCATAAACCACAATTTGCCTAGCGTCAACATCTAGTTGATGAGATTGCGTACCTCCATGAGCCTTGAATTACCTTTGCTCAACAAGCAGCCCTACGACTCTAGGTTCACAGCTCCGCGTTCCGCAGACATGGGCGTCCTCTCACCGTCCCAGGTCCCCTGTGTCGAGCAGCCAAACGGTCCAAATGTCCACTTTAACTATGGGCAGACGCTTGAGTCAGAGTTTCGGGCAGTTGTGGGTTGCGATGCGCTTATTTCGACGTACGCAATGTGCCAAGCTTTGTAAATTGAAACTCCGATTCCAGACCACAACACGGGAGCATCTGCTTGGCGAGGATCAGTGAGCTGATCAAAGCTCGCGATAGTTACGGGCCGAGATGCCATGGCTTCACGCGAGTCATTTCATTTGGGCATAGAGTGGTCGCCAAACGACTTGAGATAGAGCTTCACCGACACTGCGAGAGAGTCTCATTCTCTCGCTGAATGAGAAACGCGTACCGACAACGCATCGGGAAACTCGGACGTGGAAGTGGATAGTTGTCGACAAACAGAGGCACCATCGGGACAAATAAATTGCTCAATGAATTGTTTCGCATTCGGATGTTACCAAGCCGGCGAGGTCAAGGGCACAGGCACGAGCTTGCTGGCCGCTGAAGGGAGACAAACTACTTGATCGAGCAAAGGTTTTGCATTTCTGTGCCCGGAGGAACCGTTCGAAGGGACTATGTTTACGCAAGGCTTTGACACTCAACCTCGGCTCCTCCGGAATCGCCGGAACAACACTCCTGGCCAGACGCCCATCGATCAGAATATCTTCTGCCCTCATTCACTCTATGGTAATTGAGCCCCAGACCTCTTCGCTCAGAATTCACCCGTTGCACTTCCTCCCACACAAGGAGTCCCAGTACAGTTAAAGCCTTGGGGGTTCACGGCGTTTCCACAAAGGTATGAAGTGGCAGCAGTCCCGTTGGCAAACTCCAGGTCGACGTCGAAGAGCCCGATGTTGGTGCAAGGTGCAACAGCACTGCATTGGAGACTGGCGACGCGGGATGACTTGGTCGTGCCTACCATGCCGTCGAGGGTGATATCGCGAATCTGGAACTGCGAGTTGGTGCAGTTGCCCACCCCGGGGGCACCGCGGAAGCGGGTGCACTGAGAAATTGCGAACGCAGCGCCGCGCATGCCCTGAACGGTGAGGTTCTTGAAAGACATATCCGATGCAACTGAAACAAATTGGCGGTGACTAGGAGGCTTTCAGAGAGTGCTACATATTCGCTGTTTCGGACCTACATCCAAGCCCGCCGCCGCCGCCGCCATTAGGAGGGTAGCCGTTCTGGTCGTCTGTCCAAGTTTTGAAGTAGACCTGGCGACGTCGTTAGCACTAAAAGGGTGTCATGATATCAGAAGAGAAGGGCAAAGGGACTTACTGCATGCAACGTGTTGTCAAAGAAGCAATTCTCGACCTTCAGTCTTTCAATGGTCTCGAACTGGTCGTTGTATTGTCCGATGCTGCCGAGCGCAATGCCCAAAACATTGTAGAACTTGGAGTTCGTGATGCTGACATCAGTACTGTTTGCTTTAAGAGAGATGCTATCGTCGCCACTGTAGACAGTCCAGTTGTTGAACTTGATGCCGGAGGAGCGGATCGTGTAGGCACCGTCCGTGTTCGCTAAGTGAGGTCAGAAAGGCTCATTCTTCTGCCCATAGATCCAAAGCAAGGGGTGCTAGTCTTACAGCTCTGGAATCGACTGCCAGTGTTGTTGACTAAGATGCTATCGAGGACGACGTTGTGAGAGTAGATTATGGACAGAGTCCTGTTTAAGTCAGCGATGTTCAGATATGCGCTATCGCCAAAACGTGTACTTACCACATCTGACTTCTCAGGAAGTTAACTCCCTTCACCACAGAGTTCCGCAACCCGTTGAGAGTGAGAGCATGTGGACGACCAGGGTAGTTGGAAGTGTTCGCCTGCTGTCTAATCCATTCATACCAGTAGTCGCCGTTGCCATCGAAAGTGCCTTGCCCATGACCGTTGAGACGGACATTATTGCCGCCGAGTATAAAGGCAGTGGACTGATTCTGATACCCGACGTCCAGCGAGTTGCAAACGGCAGTCTTACGTTAGCCGATCGCCATCAAACGAAAGTCTTGGTATTGTTTGGCTTGGCGCAACACTCAGCCTAAACCAAGATCGGGAAGGTGGGTGATAAGCCTGCCGTGGAACAGTAACGTAGCAGCAGAGTTCCCTGGAGATTAATCTCGACATCGTCCAGCCAAGTGACATTCAAAGCGGAGTTGACATAGTACGTCGTTGGCTCGAACACGACATTGCCGCGCCGGCCGCACTGCGTGAACGCCTCGAGTATAGCAGACGCGTCGTCGGTGGTGTTGGTTCCGCTAGCCTTGACAACGCATGTCTTGCGTTCCGCGGCGTCTGCAGTCTCTTGTGCATAGACCCCGGAGGCTGAAGCAAGTAGAGTGCAAAGCACGCCAACAGCCTAGGTACGGCGCATGTTCAGACAATGTGTAATAGACTAACAGTTCCTTGAGCTGAGAACAAGGGGTCCAGTGACTGAGGGGTGGAAGAGTAATGAACAACAGGATTGGCTCAGAACATCAGCTGAAAAATAGTGAGAACCCCAGCCCTACCTCCCACCGGTAAAGCGCGACGGCGCCCAAGGGTTGAATAGTTTCCCAGCATCGTCAAATCGGGCTTTTCCCGGCTGAGTCTCCGCGACATCAACGTCGTATTTTCTCAGTCGCGCTGAACTCTCGCGCCGGATTCCTTGGGGCCAGCATCGGAGTTACATCGTTGCCGTTCGACCGGGTGGATTTTGCACGAATCATGGAAAAGGATGTACGAGAATACCTGGAGTTCTTCACGTTCATGACTAAGTTTGTACGGTGCCGATCGGTTGGCGGTTAACGATGCGGAGGCGGGGGGGTGTTGCGGGGAAAGCATGTTCCCGCGCGACTTGGACCAGGGATAACTTCAATAACTCGTACAATCACTGTTGTGATACGGGCCAGTTCTTCCACTAAGTTTGAAAGGGTAGCCATCCATTCTTTTTCGAGTTCTAAAGGCTACACATTCTGGAATGAGCTTTCCTTCCGTCCAGGCCCTCCGTGCCTTCCGTGGCAATGGCCATCAAGTGTCCAAGCACCCGCACTCATTCCGGACTGCAAAAGAAATTCTTGAGGTTGTGAAATGTCCAAGGCCTACTGCGCATATCCAGCCCGGATTCAAACAATAGAGTCGCTATCGCTATTAAAATCCTCAATCATCTGCTTTTTGGCTTTTCTCTCTTCTGCATCCATCCACTTTCTCATACTCCAGACAGTTACCAACGTGATCACTGTTGCAAGGACACAATAGAGAGCAATCCACGGCGAGATGATTTGATCACCATCTAGAGGAGTCCAATTGAAGAAGGACATCGAGAAAAGCGACTTGCGGTGTATTAGTTTGCTTGTTTCTACATGTCTGCTCACACACATGACAGGGGTCCGAGAGGGTTGAACTTACGGCGAGGAATGTCCCAGACAGGAATATCATTCCTAGTAGTGAAATGCTTCTCATCTGGCTACCATATCTCTTCGTAGCGTTTGCAATGATGATGGATACTTTGGCGTCTCGTCTTGTATAGTAATTTGATTCCTAGCCATTAGCGTCAGTGATCTAACCGGGTGATTAATGATAACGATTTAGATCTGCTCACCATTTGCGCAGCGAGTGACATGCCGCCAAGGAGACCTTCGTAACTTCGGGTCTTGCTTCCCAGTTCATCTACCATCTCGCGTAGTCTCATCTCAATCCTGCTACCTAGCCTCCGCTCTTCGACGTGTTCATCAATCTCATCGCTGCCTTCAATAGGAGGCTTGAAGTACGTCTTAGCTACAATCTCCGAGTGTTCGATCATGTTCTGCAGTTGAATCCTGAGACTATGGAGCCCGTTTTGGAGCTTACTGATTTCTACCCAAAGTTTTGTCGACACACAATCTCTTGTTCGCAAGGCAGACTCAGAATCTGTCTTTTCGGAAATTGAATTCTGGTCGTCACCTCGAAATCTTTTTTCCAAATCCAAGATGCGTTCTTCGAGTGCCGTTTTCTCCAAGTCAAGCAAATCCAACAGACGTTTGCGTTCCAGTTCCGCGAATATTACTGGCATAGCCAGAGGATGATAGACTTGTCCACAAACGTCTTCCAGGCACTTGATAGTCAAATTAATGACGGGCTGCGTACAGCCGTACATGACTGCGTACCCTGTGCCAAGGGTCGGAAACGAAGTGACTGATAACGCAACATCGTTTGGATTATTCATCCCTCGCGGGGATTCGGTATCGGACTTGCAGTTGTACACTACGCTTCATGTTAGATTGCCTCGCGGCTTCATGATACCAATTGCACAATAGACGTAGAGTGCGAATCGTGTCCGGTGGAACGATCGGGTTTCTTGGAAGTTCATACCTAAAGATGGCAAAGGGTGACTACCCTCCCACACCACAGGTTTGTGGCAGACGAGGGCGGTAGAGGCTCTCTTGAATAGAAGCGATAGCGAACGATGCTGATACAGCTTTTGAGCCACTTTTTTGAAAGTACTCTCTCCGTATGGCAGTGATCTGGCACCTAGCGGATCGGTCGCATCCAGCCTATGATGCATCACAAGCACTAAGCCTGGCGTTTCAAGAGGCGGCTTCTCCTACAATAGATATATTAAGCATGCCAATCCGGATGGAGTCAAGAATGATTTGTTTACTTACTAATTCTAGCCATTTGAGAAATGCATCTTCTGTTGTGGAGTCCAAGACATTCGGCTTCGGTACGCGGTTAGGTCGACCTAGGCTGGGCCATAGGAGAGGAGCTGGGAACTCACACGTTTGTCAGCCTTTTGTAAAGTCACAGTCCGTATCCTGAAAGACTTTTCCGGAGAAAATTCAAGCAATTTCAGATCGCATTTGAGAAAGTCCAGTCTTTGACTTATCCACTCCATCGTGGAAGCGATTGACCTGCGACTTCAGCATCTGAATCTACCAGGTAGAGGTCTACGGTTGGGCGCTTGCCACAGCTTATACGTGAACAAACCACAAGGATTGTTAGTCAAAAATCCTGGCGTGCATCAAACGACTCATCAGTGTGTTTTGCATGGATACCCAACTGTCCGGGCTTGTGCAACGGAACTTCCTTGACCCCGCCTTGGACTGTTCATGGATTGAAAGCCCAGAATTGTGTTCTACCATACCTGCGCCATGATGACTGCAGATTACCTGCTCAACCAACTCAATCAGGGTGACATTTCCGCTGCAGCTCTTTCACGCCACTCGATGGGCTGTTCTTAGCTGCACTACTGCGAGAACAACAACACCGACAATGATGATGATGATGATGATGATGTATTTAACGTCTGGTAACAAAAGGACGTGCCGGGCGCTATGCCGACATGGTCTATGCTAATCTAAACTATGTTACAGGCTAACACCGACAATGATGATGATGATGATGATGATGTATTTAACGTCTGGTAACAAAAGGACGTGCCGGGCGCTGTGCCGACATGGTCTATACTAATCTAAACTATATTATAGGCTACCGTCTTCACCTAACGTTCCTGTTCAATGACTCGGGCAAATTTCGGAAAAGAAATTGGTCTCCTCTATCCATTCGCATAGAAGAGAGGCTCCCTTAGCAGAACCTAACAATAAATTAATGCTTGCTTTGGCTATACGTTGGCGGAGGTAGCGCGGTGTAGCCTTGCGTCTACGCTTGTAGAAGTAGAAATGGACTGGTGTCTTGGGTTTCCCATAGCTGCAGTTGAGCAACGCATCTTGATGAGCGAATCTCTCGTGGTATGCTGCAAAGTCGTAGTAGTAGTAGTAGTAGTAGTAGTAGTGGTGTTTTACATCATCAGGGACAGGTGCCCAGCTATCTATGTAACTAAGCTCCGATCAACCAGAGCGCCCTTTGGGCATATGATGTGCCGTGCCGCCATTATAGCGTACGACAAGTCAGGCAGTCTATTATGTACACTTTTCTTCTCGTGCCTAGAGCAGTGGAGTTTAGTATCTAATCCCCAGGGTCCGTTCAGTTCCAAAAAGCACGCCAGCAGGGGGTCCCTGACTCGGCAGAAGCGAGTGGGTCTCTAGCAGCCCTACGCCGTCCACAGACGGCGTTGCCGCAACAAGTAACCGGCCCTCGGAGGCATATTTGCCTACGCGAGCATTTTTCTGTTTTCTTATATTTTCTTATATAGAAGATAAAGGAGGAAGGAAGAGAGAGGGGTGTGGTAAGGCCGGGGCCTCAAGGCGTCGGTGGGTGTGTGAGAGAGTTGTGAGGCGCGGGATCTCGGGCTCGCTATCTTTGCAGAGAGTGAGCCTCATAGTAGCGCGTCACACGCTCGAACTTCTCAAAGGCACCCGGGTCTCTGACCAGGGCGTACCAATAGGCTTCGGCCAGGCCTATCGGGGGCGGTAGTGGTCCCGGATCGTCCACGGTCCCGGTAATCGGCCATAGCGCCGAGGTACGGCGGTTCTTCGTGCAATATACTGGATGGGTAGGCGATAATTTCCGCCCGCAGTTACATTTGAAGTCTCCGTCGTGCTGAAAGCGCCTGTGGTAGGCGTGGAAATGGCCATGGCCAGAACGAGCAGCGAGGAGGTGGTGCAAAAGAGGACGCCGTAGGTCCAATTCCGGAGGGCAACGGAGGGCAGCGTCAGTTTTCTTATAGCCTGGTTTGAGCTTTTGCTTCGAAGTATGCCACCATCGTGAATGGTAGCCACGGGCTCTGGCGCGGGCCATCTTCGCTATCCCAGCGTATGATGCTAGCGGTGGAGGGTCAGGCAGTAGGAGAGCGGCTCCTTCTTTAGCAAGCTTATCAGCTAATTCGTTTCCAGGGATCCCGGTATGTCCGGGCGACCAGTGGCATTTTATATCCCTTGCCCGCTGGGCGTCGAGTATCTCAAGCATAGCAGCCTGCGAGCTGGCGGGAGATCGTCCGAAACCCGAGATGAAGTTGAGAACGCCAGTATTATCGAGGCAAAGATGGATTGTAGTGGGGGAGGTGGCAGCTAGGTGCAGTGCTCGCCGTAGGCCCTGACGGGCCCCCTCGGCCTCGGCATCAAAGACTTCTGTGTATTCGCCGAGGCGGCCACGGCCTTCCGCGATGGCCTTGGGCCCACGGTATATCACATATCCGTAGCCCACAGCGCCTTCAAACAGCATGGACCCATCGGAGTAGATCACTAGGTCGGATCGCGGGAGCGCTTTTATCATCTGCAGAAATGCAGCAGCGGCTTCTTCTTTAGTGTCTCGCTGGGGTGCGGGGGGATTCGGGAGGACTAGAACCGGCCGAGGGCATGGGGGTAGTAACGCGTAGGTTCGCTGGAGACGTGTGTCTCGTCCAGAGCGTCCAGGGGTGCGTTCCTCCAGCCTGGGGACCAGCGGGTGTTGAGGGTCAAGTCGTCGTAGCCTCGCGGCAAAGCGTAGTCTGGCCCCTTCCAGCGCGGTGACCGCAGCGGGAAGACCTGACTCCTTGAGCAGGATGTCCGTGGGCGTAGTACGCCAGACCGGGAGCACGGCCCGGGCAGCAGCGACAATGGTCTTATTAATGGTAGTAAAGTGACCCTTCTGGCCAGTGTTCACGGTGGGGTTGCGGAGGGTGGCGCACATCCTCGAGAGTTGCGTGAGCGCAGCCGGCTTAGTACGGCCCGAGAACCATACTTCAGATCCGTACAGAACTGACGGCA